AAGTATGTTGCAGTAAAAATATCTTTAAGCACACTATTTCTCAAGGTGGCGATATTATGGACCCTGGTGATATTTTGGACACAGATGTTACCAGAGCCTGGACTCACTTATTTTACTAAACAACATTTCTCTAAAACATTTCACAAATACGGTCTGTGAAATTACTAGACTAAGTATAGAGGTTGAAAAGTGGTTCAAAAGTTAGTCTTCTCCCACATCCTGGTTAAATGCAAGTTTGTGTTCCCTGTTCACCTGTTGTACAAATGGATCCAGACATACAGATTTTCTTTTCTGTCACAAAGTGATCTTGTTCAGTCTGTACAAAGAATCTAGTGTGTCCCATAAAAAGGTTCAATATGTATGTCCTTAATCTCCAAGCAGATGTTTTGTTGGCCACAAAAGACAGTTTCAAATTGGCCAGACAGTATCCATTAGTTACTGTCTGGCTAATGTACATGACATATTGTATACTGCCTGGCTAATTTGATACTGTCCTTTGCGGCCATAGAAACATCTCCTCGGAGATCACATGTCCTGTGACTCGATGTCACTGAGGACGGAGGGCGCTACGTACATGTACTTCCTCACACTCATTGCTCACCTGATCATGACACTTGTACACAATCAGGTGTTATGAACAACAGGGTCAAATATCCTGAAGAGTCCATTCTTTTGTGAAGTAGAAAAAAAAATCTTTTCCACAATATTATGTAGTAGCTAGATGTTAGGTTTAAGTTCATCCGTGTACATCCTAACATACATACATCCAACATACACATCCATACAAACAACCACCAAAAACAACCCTCTTGGTGAAGGTGATTACTGCTAATGGTGTCACTCCCTGCAATGGCCGGCATGCTAGCACTCTAAATTTGATTTTACATTTATCTACAGTTTATAGAGTTTCTCCTTATCCTGTACATAAGAACTATTATTTCAGAAGATTGTACATTGTGTATTAGTGTTACCATGTTGGAGCAAACAAGCCACATGGCACCTAATGTTGAAGGAGACAATGGGCAAATGACATTGTAAGTCTCTGAGACTGCGTTCAGAATAATTCAGCCTTTTGTATTTTCAAATTTACCACCAACATGTATTTAAATAACTTAAGGGTCCAAATTTGCCAAAGTTAAGGCCATAGTTATCAAATTAAAACTCTCGCCACATCTGAAATTTTTGGCACTAATATCAGATACTGAAAGTACACAGTTCACAGATTTTTAAAACTGACTTGTGTTTGGTTTAAAGTTCAAAGTCGAAGGCTAGTAAAAGTATAAAAAGGAAAGCTTATTTGGTAATACTAGTCTTTCAACTTTGAAACATTGGGTCCAAGAATTAACATGCAGGAGATGCCCTAACTTGAGAAAGTTCCCAAACTTGAGACAGACTTTCACTGATCTTATTATGCAAAAATATGTGATGTTTGTTGCCTGCGACTATGCTGATTAGACGGTACATTTGTAAATAAACAAGTCTTTGCACATTGGAGTATAAAATATACTTGTGCATATTCATAGTTTTGATGAAAAGTATCATTTTGGGGCATTATCACTCCTACTGAGGAACCCTTCCCTTGACTAGCTCCTGTCTTTTCTTAGGCCCACTTTAGACTAGGAACAGAATACCCTTCAAAACGCTTCGCCACCAGTAACGCTTTGTCTTTAGACATGGGTGGAAGCATAGCGGGTGCACTAGTTAGGTACACATGTAGGTTACAATTATAGTAGCAGCTGCCTCAGGTATTTTGTGCACAATGTAATTCTGGTAGCTCTTTAATTAATTTATTCCTTATTTTGGCAAAGTTGGACCCTTTCCTGAAAATCAGAATAGAGCCTTAAAGTTTCTACACTGTAGTAACTAAAAAATTGATACACAGAATGGCAGCTTCCAATTTCAGTTGCCCATGTTGAGTCCTAACCTGGAGATGTGAAGGCTATATCCGCAGCACAGGGAGAGAGAGAACAGATTCCCAGAGAAAAGGACTGTTAAAGGCTGAAGGGTGTGCATGCTCGTGTGGATAGCTGACCAAGCAGAGCGGAGACAAGACACCAAATGTCTTGCTCCCCCCTACTGGCCACAGCATGTCACTTCAGAAACACTACATTTTGTACATCGTTCATTATTGTTTATGTCTCCAAAACTATCACTGTCTACTGCTGGTACTGGTAGTCAAGACTTCTGGTTTCATTTGAATGTCACTAAAAACAGAATATGTAGTTCCTGTCAGTATTACTCTTAGACTGTACTGTGTCTTTTCTGTACAGATTTTATCAAGAGTCATCACAAATACTACATGTAGATATGATACCTGCAAGACCATGATAAGACCAACTCCTACTTTTTATCAGGTCCCAAATGCCTCATAATGAATGTTCTTGGTAAATTTCTAGAAAGCTGGAGGGCAAATTTAAAGTCTGTAGTGCTTCTGAAATGTTTTTGTCCACTGCACAGCAACTGCCAATGATGGGGGTCAGTTAGACTACACAAAAAATGAGGCAGAACTGAAAAGCTGATAAGAAGAAAAGTGGAAAAATAAAACACAACATTCCATATAAATTGAAAATAGTAAAAAAAAAACACCCATGTTGTCTGAACATTGACAACGAAGATATTATGCTCCAATTATGAGCTCCAATGATTATTTGCTCCCATGCAAAGAACAGTTGAATTGTGCAAATTTCTCTAAAACGTAAGTTGAGGGAAGAATGTTGCTTCAGAAGGCTGATAGCATAACCATGCAAATGTAACATTCCACATGTACAACATAACTTTACATGCAGGTTTAGCAGACTCGGTTCAGGCCAAACCTCCATTCTGAGTTACAACAGCATTGCCAACGCATGCACATATCATGAAATTAATTTTTAAAACATTAAAAAATCTACATAACAATTAAAAAAATATAATGGTGTAAGAAATGTTTTCTATCTTATATAAAATATCCAGTAGCTTATTTGAAAATACTTATGAATCTGTGTCAAACAAGTACATTCTGTATGAAATGACTGTTTACATGTATGTACGTGTAATTGCCTTTCATAGTTAAAGTTAAAAGCCCTTAAGTTTGTTATGTCCACCAGAAGTTGTGACAGTACATGACGACTAGTGATGTAGAGCTGTACAAGTTGTTACTCACAGGGTCGATGAGGAACGTCCGGAACATGTTGTCATATTCCTCCTGGTCCACACCACGCAGGTATTGTTGCTGTGCACTCATTTTGAAAAGAGGCTGAAAAATTCCCATGTTATTAGGACAGCGTATCAAATATTTTTTTTAGTAACTGTTACATACGTTTAAGAGTAAGTCTTGGATTCTTGGCTGGTGTGCAAAGAACATTGCAAGTCTGTTGTTTTTTGTACCTCTTTACTCTTCATTCCAGATAATTGCAACTGCAACTTAAAGCTGGATTCTTGGTAAATGTATTATCACGTATGCTGCAAATTACAATTTCTTGACATTAAACTGAGCTATTGGCAATTTACTAAAAATGGATAATGTATCATACATGTACTCCTATGCAAATAGTACAATTACATAACAGTACATTGTATATATATATGTGTATATACATGTAGTATGGTCTCTGCGTGTGTGTGTGGGGGGGGACAAACAAGGGAGTGTGTGCTGTGCAGTTTCTTTCTTTCTTTCTTGGCAATGACAACAGGTCAAGACACAGGTTATCAAGGCAATGGTAACTGGTATTAGATAACCCACATACATGTATACAAACATGGAGACAAACATGAAATAAGAAATCTAAGTTTGTGCGTTGTGCGTGTGAAAAAGCATAACAGACTACATTTGTAAAATGCTAATACTATAATAATAATATTACATGCATTGTGTTTCAACTATAAACTGTTGTTTACAATGCTACATATCATATGACACACAGTATCACAAACCTGATATCCTCCCATCGCAATTTCAATAGTGGCATCTATCGGGTGGTTGGGCAGCCCTGCTGTGTTGACTAGTGACATGAAGAGCAGGGGGAACCAGATGATGATGATCAGTAAGAACACCAGCAGTCCGCCGGCACCGTACTTCACCATAGCTTTCTTTTTCACACCCCTTGGGATGGGATATCTCTGCAACACAAGGTTTTACCACCATTCTTATTTCACATTGGTGCAATTTCTTGGCATTACACACAACCATGTAATAAACAAGGAGCATGCAGCTAACATCTGTGTCCATAATATCACCAGGGTCCATAATATCGCCACCTTGAGAAACAGTGTGCTTAAAGATATTTTTACTGCAACATACCCTAAATATGTACATTTGATGTGTGAAGGAGTGCATACCAAAAGTATGTTGCAGTAAAAATATCTTTCTTTAAAGGAGTACTAACCTCCAGAAGGAAGTGCTATTTTCCGATACATCATGCTGCAATGAATACATAACTAGCCGACTTTTTCCATAATTTTGCTTGTACGACTTGCACGGCGCATGTCTGTAAAGTGATATTAATATCATTTTTCCCCATGCTGAACCACAATTGATACATCCGGGAACTCTGGCTTGCGCAATACTCATACACTTCAGGTCAACATACACATTTTTCCGTGAAAATGGTAGGAGACAAGCACACTAACAAGCTGATTATTGAGAAATTACTTGATTTACTTTGCTTGACCTGTGGCTTGGATATTATAATATCAGGATGTCGAATACAGTGGGAGCCAGTTTCATCCTGCGCGTTTTGATTTTCTCATTTTATTTGCATGTAAGTATTACTTGAACAGATAATTAGATTACGCCACTTATGGAAAGGATAACTAGATTACACCGTTTTTTTCATCGTCAATATTTGCGGCATAAATAAGGGGCGATAAGGACACCAAGAAGGACAATGGTTGGTAAGATACCAAAGAACACAAATCGGTGCGAATTTTTCTTATCGCCCCCGAAATGAGGTCTGTAACGTAACTTTTTGTCTAAAACATAGACACCAATGGGGTAGCGTGTTGTATTCTGGGATAGTTTTGAGGGTATTTGGAGAGTTTGTCCTGGATTCGATGCGTTTTAAGACTTGCGCGCAAAATGGGCATTTAATTGTATACTGTAAAATAATATGCATTTTTCACTTCCAAAAATAAAAGCCTGTCGAAATATAGCACCCCCTTCTGGAGGTTAGTACTCCTTTAAGCATACTGTTTCTCAAGGTGGCGATATTATGGACCCTGGTGATATTATGGACACAGATATTACTATTGTCAATAAGCTCACTGCCAAACATTAGACAACATCAGCCAGGCAGACTCTGAGATCTGAAGAATTGCTCAAAGACAATCTGACAGGCTGGCCTGGTTAACTCTTTACAATGTAACGTTACCTCCACAAGAGTAAGGTACATTCTCACATGTACAGTGTACATGTACATGTACAATGGCATACATGGACATGTACATTTGTAGGGACAAACTTTTCAGCCCTGACATGTACAGTCAAGGCAATATATAAATTTGATTTTTGCTCATATTCTAATCTAACTTGAAGATTTATATTATTGTTCAAAGGACAAGCATGATCGGTTCAAATCTCAGCTTCCAAAGTAAGAAATATGAATTCTTTTTTGTACTTTGCGCTCCTGTGCCACTACATTTCATGGCAACATTGCTGAGTCAGACTAAAGGTAGGACAATATCGGCTACTTCTGGACCAGTGACAGACCTTTTCAGCCTCTCTCATGCATTTCAGACAGAAGATGTTTGCATAGATGTCCTCCATCTGTAGCCAGCTGGACAGCCCCAGTGTTGTATCCGTCCACACCCAGTCCATTACATACCGCAGCTCTACTAAAAATGGAACTACCTGGAAACTAGGCAGAAATGTAAAAGAGCCATTACTAATTAGAAGAATGTAACTTGGCAGCATGCAACACAACAAGTAATGTAACTCTTTCCCTCTTTAATTCTGGTAAATTTAATTTTCTATATTTGTACTATAATTTTAGTTGGACCCAGAAAACTAAATGCATAACCTGATGTATAACTCTTCATCCAATTCATCATAAATCTAACCACAGCTATTTCAGTACCAGGGACAGGGACACATGTCAGAAGCTTCATGTCTTAGACTACTGTAACTATCACAATGAGGACGGGTTAGGGAGAGAGAGTAATGCTATTACTATAGACCATTCAACACTATGAATGAATTTGGGGTTGAAATTAGATAGTCATCAGTTCTTAAAAGCCAAACTTTATCCCAAACCAAACCAGCTTGGTCATTTCAACTTGATTGCTTGAAAAATGACATTTTTCAGCCCAAAACTTTTGCATTGCAAACAGCTTCTTCCCAAAAGCCTTAAATAACATAAAGGGAAATCCAAATCCCCCATGACTATAATCTCCAGCATAGTTTTATTGCTTTTACAGATAACTATTTCCTCTGAAGATTTTATGACACACTTCCGAGGGTCTATATAACGAAAAAAATTCATTCAATGAATCAAAAATCGATTTAAGAGCTGTGTGAGGATGTATCTAGATAGTGAGCTGTCGCATGTTGTAACCATTATGATCATCATCATCATGAACTTACCCTTGGAACAGCAAAAGGTTGATGTAGTTGTACTTTTTGGTAAGAAAGTTTCCTAGAATTCTGGTGGGGTAACCAGAGCGGATCTGGTAAGCAGATAGTCCGAAGTAAACACACTTGGTGAAGTACCACAGCTGAGCTGGGGAGTTCTCCACAAAGGGTCTGGATAAACAGCAGGGAAAAGGAACAACTTTAATTTACAACAACTTCATGTGGTACATTTCACTCAGAGAGCACGTCGGCAGAATGTATTGCGCCTGCGCAGAACCCTGTATTTTCATGGTTTTCAGTGGATTTTTGGTCAACGTTGCATTAGAATTTTTTCTGTTGCAGAGGATATTTTTTCCGACATAACATTTGGAAACTACAGACGAGATGTTTTCCTTATATGTGGGAATACAACCTTATATGAGACGTTCTGCTGAAGTGCTATGCACAATACATTACGAGTTTCGCGCAGGTGCAGTGCGTTCTGACGCCGTGCTCTCAGAGAGGACAGGACAAAATGTTCACTTTTGACTACTTCAATCTCTAGTCTAAGTAGCAATATACTACATTGTAGTAACTGACTGCAATTGTTACTTCCACAGTGAAAAAGTCCAATCAGTTGAACAGTCTTTTGGAATTCATTGTCCAAATGTACTGAATCACAACTTGTCTACATAATTATAAAGTAATATCAATTGTTAGAGTTCGAAGCTAAAACCAATAATTCTTGCAACATTACATCAAATTAAACATAGTCTCTATTAAATAAAGACTGAACTTTAACTTCCAACACTAGATATAGAATTGGGACTTACCCCAAATTTTTGGTTGACTCCATCAACCTTGTTCACGGAATGGACCCGTCTACTCTTGGAACATGACGTCAGAGACACGTGACCGTAGTAGCGGGTCATACGTGCCAGATAACTTGTGTCGCCCCCCGTCTCTGTTCAGGGTAGGTCTGTGAGCTCTTACGTAGACTGCCTCCTTAACTCCTCTTGCAAAGAAGTCTGATTCAGAATCAAGGACCGTACGACCCGCTACTACGGTCACGTGTCTCTGACGTCACGTCCAAGAGTAGAAGGGTCCATTCCGTGAACAAGGTTGATGGAATCAACCGAAAATTTGGGTAAGTCCCATTCTGTATTTAAGTGTTGGAAGTTAAAGCTTAGTCTTTATTTCATAATGATTTGCACAAACACAGATGAACTTTCATGCTAAACATAGTGTCTCATTTGTAAGTCTCACCTGTCTGTAAAACCAGGAAGAACAAAGAACATCCAGAGGTGGACACCAATGACAAGAACAATCTGGAAGATGAATTTTCCTGGCACATTTTTCCTGAGGTAGAGGGCCCTGTCTACCACAATCATGGCAAACTGGATCAGTAGCATCACCAAAAAGGGCAGAGGAACCTGTGGAGGTTAAGAAATTGTTATATCTATTCTGTAATATTGAATCATTTGTTAATAATATACATAATACTGTATTATATGATTACTGTAATTCATTAAAATGTTCACAGTAACAAAAGTTTGCGGTCTGAGAAAAATGGTCATGTTTGCAGTGGTGGCAAGTGCAGAAAAAGAAAGTCTGAGAATTATTTGTTAACAATTTATAACTGTATTTTTATTTCAAATACATGACTACACATTACACAGACTTTTATAAGTTTGTGGTACAGAAGTTACTGTGAAAACCACGAACGTAAAAGAACTGAAAAAATTGTGAATTAAAGTATCATAATATTGAACATTAGTGAAAACAATTTAAAGCAGTCTGCCTATCATAATAGTACGGTAGTTACAAAATGTACTTAGTCTATTAGTCTTGTACATGTCACTAGTGTTGAGTGAAGTGAGGGGATGATACAAGAGACGGTCAAATGTGAGTCTAGAGTTAGTTACTGTCAGTATCTCTCAGTGTGTCTCTTCATCTTATACATGTATAGTGTCATGCCATAATATTATGTAAGAAGTGTGGTGTGTCCCTCTGCAAAATGTACAAGTTTGGGTAGAATATGCTAAGCATATATTATGTACTTTTGCATACAGCAAGACCAGTAAAAAATCCGTCTGAACTTAGGGCACATCTGAAGTTATAGCGCCCCCCGCTAATGTACAATGTTAAGAGTAAAGGCTGTTTCAGAACAGTTCGTGTTACTAGACAAGTAGTAAGACTTAGTACTTTTGGTAAGTTCAGAATGGCCCTACCTGATTCTCAGAGATGGATGACATCACATCTGCTCCAGCAGAATGTTTCTACAATATTAATGATTCAAACAACAGTAAGTACACTTCATAATAATGTAATTTTGACAAAATCAGCAGTAACTACCCATAACAGCTATATACTAGTATGCTGACAACAATTCAGAAACTGAATATGAAGCAAACTGTGTGTAATGTTGTAATGACACCAGAAAGCTCCTACATGTAGCAGGATAAACAAAAAGTTGTTCCTTTTTTTCATGAATGAGCTGCTAGATGTCATTATCATGAGGGACTAATTTAAAGCTCTCCAGCCATCATCATTTTGTTATGCACCATACACATGTAACCCCATAAAGATAGGATTTTTCAGTAATAATGCTTAGCATGATAACAGTAAAAATGAATGTAGATCAGGCAAATAAATGTGTTCCTTTAATGTGTACTCATGCAAACTCAACTTAAAAAATTTGCCATGTCCCATGCAAAGGTTTACCAGTTCAGGGCTCCAGACTGGTGCTCCTAACCCAAAACCTGGATCCAATTGCTTTGGGTTGGGAGCACCAGTGACCAGCAAAAATCTAATAAGCACACCAGCATGAAGGTACTAAAAAGTACATAATATGTAGATCATCATATCAAATGTTACATTGAGGACATTCATGAATATTGTGTTTTTTTGTAGAAACAATAATACAGATTGGAGGTAAACATGTTATGAGCCGTGCTAGGTGCTCCTATGAAAAATTGCTAGGAGCACAAATTAATTTTTGGGAGCACTCGTACACTCCGAAAATGGGAGCAGTCTGGAGTGCTACAGTTTAACCCAAATTACCCCCTATAAAAATCAAGAACTCCATTCACTGATGCAGAACAGGGACAAGTGGGGAAGAAGAACCCATTGTCTCCTGTATGGACATCCTTGATGTCCCCATTTAAGCCTCGGTCACAACCCGCCATGCGGGCGTTTTGTCCATACATTTTCGAGAAGGGCACATCTGCTACATTTTTCTGAAAACGTGGGGAAGGCGTGCTCCCAAATCCATTCATTGGATTCCATACGGAGGCGGTACTCAACACTTACATGTACGGATCCCCCCTACGTTTGCCCACGTTTTTGTACGTAGACAGCACGCAGATGCACCTACGGCGGGTTGTGATCGACGCTTTAATTTTCAAGGTTTAGAAATCAAATCAACTTAATAAATTGGTAAACTGGTTAGTTCATTCTTAAAATTTTACAGTAAGTCAGTTACCTCATGAAGCATTAATTTCATCTTATCAATTCATAAAACATTGAATTTCATAAAATACAAAGTAATGTCCTCACCCCAAATGCCCAGTATCCAAAGATCACAATGACAAAGTTGATGAAGTCACAGAGGAAAATCAACACGTATACATCAGTCACTGCACTGTACTTGGGATGAAGCAGCCGATAGTAGAACAGAAAGACTGGGTTGAAGAACTTTTTCGTCCTGTAAGAGGAAGAAAATTTAATTAGACAATATATTTTACATTTCACTGTCCCTGCCATTCCCAAGGCTTGAATTACATGTGACATAATTATGACATTGACAACAAGAGAAACATCAGTAGATGATGTAAATGAAGACCTAATTTGCATAATTAATGAGGAAATATCATAAAGCCATAATGATAACTGCCAGCAATCTCATATTAATTTTGTGGTGCTTGGAAGTGAATGTTAACACGATTAAACATAATGTGTCGTGTGTAACTATAAATATAGATGTAAAACCGTATCAAAGATATGATTTGTACAAAATGTATACCCGGTCCGTTAATAAACGTACTTGGCAAAGGCATGTATTCCCATAACTCATGTTAGGCCATCCTATTACAATGAATTTTGAACTTGCATTGATAGATGAAAAAATCTGTAACAACGAGGAAGAAAGGGACTTTCCTCAACTGTTGGGGGCAAAATATAAGCATTTTTTTAGTTGATTCAAAACCAGAATCTTTTTTTTTTCAAATCAGAAAAAAATGAAGAGGCCAATCCGAGAACCAATAACTTAAATTGGTGTGGCCTTAAAGGTGTCCACATTTCAGGGTGGTAAAACAAAAATAACATTCTGCATGAGAAAATCTGTCTGAAGTTGACGGTTACTGCCATTTCTTAGCACATTTTCATCCATGTTAAATGAAAGTCTTTTCAGCACCAAGGACAAATCATTCCCTTGAACCTATCAACATGAATTTATATATAACAGACCAGGACTATTTTCTTTGACATAATTTGAAAGTAATACCAATTATACCCAACAATATTATTCTCTTCTTCGCAAGCTCCGAAGAGAACTATGTTTCCCGTCTATTTCACAGACAAACACACACAATTAGGGTAGTGAGCTCACCGTAGTGAGCTCACCGTCACCTCAGTACGGTCGGGCATTTATTGCAATTGGCTCCTCAACTCAGTAACACCATTACTCTCTACACATTGTAGCTCTCATAGCATGTACATACTTATACAGGAGCCTAATACAACAACAAGTCATGTGCTGCGAGCTGGCGACCTATTTTACCCTGGTTGCCAATTGTTTAGCCAAAGTCGGGCTGGTCGGTTAAACCAAGGCTCTGTCCAGCGGATGTTTAACACATCCTGACTTGTAAGTAACTTCTAACCGGCGAAGTTCAAAAGCTCATCTGCGTGAACAAGGTTGAAAACATCCTGGCTAAGCAAATAATGCGTTACAGGTACACCTGAATAACTACTGACCTTCGTAAGTTAAGTGGTTCAAAATACGACAATAACACAATTCTGGAGTATATCAGAGGTTACAGCTACACAACATACTGAGTACAGCAAATGGCCACAATGTGACTGTGAACGCTAGCAAGGCAGGTATCTTGCAGAGAAGAAACAACATGAAGGTTATGTAACAACTGATTACGTACGCTAAGTCGCAGGTACCATTGAGGATAACGTACAGTGCTATGACGAAATGTACGAGTCTAGAGAAGTCAGTAAGAACTAAGGTAGCGCGATGTCGTATGACATGAGAAAACATAACTAACGGCGTAGAATCCAGGTGTTCTCCGATTAGTCATGGGAGGGTTGGGCGGGAATGTGACCGTACAGAGAAAGGTTGAGCCACGAATGACCCTTACGAGGGTTAGGGAGGAAGGGTCAGAGGGTAAAGGGGCGGAATAATTAGTATCAGGGTAGGGGTCACGTGATTGTCTGTTCAGCCGACGGGAAACGAGATTTATAATATTGGTTTGCAGTGAAGCTACCTTTAGGCCACACCAATTGAATTTGTTGGTTCTCGGATTTTTCAGAAAAAATATCAAGCGACAGGGCAAAAATATATATAAAAAAAAAACAGTTCTAGGCATTCTAATTTCTATTGTAGCCTCAAGTGCTACAATAGGAGCCATGAAGGCAACACAAAAGGCTGGGTTAATATTCAAACAATGAATTTTGAACTTTTAATCAAACCACTGCATTGATAGATGAGGAAGAAAAGGACTATACTCAACTGTTGAGGGCAAAATATGAACACTTCTGAAAAGTTTTTAGCTGATTCAGAACCAGAATTTTTTTTTTCCAATCAGAAAAAATGAAGAGGCGAATCTGAGAACCAACAAATTAAATTGGTGTGTCCTTACATTTGGTTTAGGAAAAAGTGACTGAAGCTATGATGAAAACATGACAATGACAGTAGTGAGTACTACTTACTTTTCTGAGAGCTCTATTATCTGCTCTCGAGTGACAAGCTTTCTTAGTTTCCTCTTATTCTGCTCTTGTAGACCTTCCTCATCTCGCTCCTCATTGTTACCCTTGTCATCAGTAAAACTCTCTGGGCAGTAAAGACATGCAATCAAAGTCAATATAAGGAGTCCCAAAAGTTTGGACGAACTTATATATACATAAATAAATGTCATTTTGTCAGGATCACATGCCTGATTAATCATTTATTATACATCTACACTAATTCTTCATGTGGCCAAGAGCTATCTGTCACCCAACAATTATGACCATACATGTGCATGTACAGCATATCCATCCATGGAGTTCTGCTGTGGTACGTATACCAACTTGAAGGCAATCTGTCAGAGGATCTAAAATCTACCTTAGTTTCTTTGACAGGTTAAGATCTACATACACATTGTATCCATCTACCAAATTTCATGACAATATAGTCATAGCATCTTGAGTTATAATGCTAAACCACACACAAAAGTCCAAAGAAAACTACTCTCCTCTTAACATCCGAAAACCCACAGATTACAGAAAAAGTGGGATCCTTTGTCTTCCTCTGTCTTCAAAAAAGAAGTCAAACCCAGTAGTTTTTACCAGTAGTTTCTTTAAGTTAGTAGTTATCAGTAGTGCTATATGTGCTAATTGTCTGTTTTTATACCATGTTTCTTCTGTTTCTGCAATTATAAGCCCTCGGGCAAGAATTTGCAATAAACAATATTATTACAATGTCCAAACACATAACTTCTCTGCAAAGGTAATGAAATACAGACACAGTCCTTCCATATGCATACAATGTGAAAAGAAGAAATAGAAATGCCCCTGGCAGGCTACAAGAGAATACAAAATTAATGTAGATTTTGTACCTGACTATGTTACCTGTGTAGGACACCAGACCTGTGACACAGGAAAAAAAATGTCTTACCGACAGAGGCTTTCCTGGTTATAACAAACGATGATGTCTCAGTCAGCTCTGGGGGTGACTTCTCCGTGTCCTTGTCACCTTTCTCACATCCCGTGCCACAGTCAGGAGAAGAAGACTCCGCTGCCCTGCTGTCTGCTGTGGGAGGTTCTGGAACCGACTCCGCAGACAGGATGTCCACAGGCCTGATAGAGAAGTCTTCTCTCTGTGTCTCCTCATAGTCTGGTGGTGCAGAGAAAGCGTCAGAGCCGTCCTTCTTGCCTTCTGTAGAGATGGTCTCCCCTGAGGAGTCTATACCTTTGGAGCCAGGTTTTCCACTATCCTCCTCCTCACTTGGTAGTATGACCAACTCACCCTGATGAAAGGTTGGAAACAATTACAGTATTAGGCCACACCAATTTCATTTCTTGGTTAACGGATTTTTCTAGAAAAATAATGGAGTGGGCGGGCAAAAAAAAAAAGAAATAATAACAGGCCTAGGCATCCTATTATGGCCAAAAATGGTACAATAGGAGCCATGAAGTCAACACACCAGGCTGGTTCAAAATTTAAACAATGAATTTTGAACTTTTAATGATACCACTGCATTGAAAGATGGAATAACTATAACAACTAGGGAAGAAAAGGACTGTTTTCAACTGTTCAGGGCAAAATATTAGCATTTTGCAGTTGATTCTGAATTTTTTTTTTGCAAATCAGAAAAAATTGAAGTGGGCGAATCTGTTAAACAAGAAATTAAATTGGTGTGGCCTTACATGACTGTATTGTACATCTAGGAAATCTATTTCCATTACTGTACCGGTAGATATAGAGAATATACTGGGTGTATTACCATTTACTACAGACCAAGAGAATCTACATGTTTTGTATTTCTATTACTTAGATCTAGAGAAATCACTCAAACCAAAATCCATGCAGTCACTAACTTGTCATTAATATAATACATTGTACTACAGGCATTTCTATTACTAGTATTGTTGAAGACTGACAGTGATCTTTTTTTTTTCATTGTTTTTTAGGAGATTAATAGAAATTTCCTAGACTTGCTAACCCTAGCCCATGTAACCCAAGCTCCGGGGGGCTCCCTACATAGTCCTCCACCCAAGAAGCTTTACGGGGGCCGGCTTGATGTTGGGCGACCAGCAAAAGCGATTTAATTAGGCCGGCTGGATGTTGGGCGGCCAGCAAAAGCGACTTAATTAGGCCGGCTGGATGTTGGGCGGCCAGCAAAAGCGATTTAATCAGGTTATGCTAACCTATGCCTTATCAATGATGTGCCCGTTCTCTGGTGACTAAGTTCCAATTTACAAATAACTGTAACACTAACCTTGTCCATGTCAGGTCCCTTCATTTCTGATTGGTCGCCTTCTAGCTTCAGCTTCTCGTCTAGGTCTTCCCCATCCTCCTCCATCTCCATCTCATCATCAAACTCTGTATCCTTCCACAGGCCATGTGCCTACATGTCAACATATTAAATCATCAAACTCTGTATCCTTCCACAGGCCATGTGCCTACATGTCAACATGTTAAATCATCAAACTCTGTATCCTTCCACAGGCCATGTGCCTACATGTCAACATGTTAAATCATCAAACTCTGTATCCTTCCACAGGACATGTGCCTACATGTCAACATGTTAAACAGTCCTGTGTTTATTTAAAGTTAAAACTTTTGGTCCAACACAAAAAATTCTCTCACCTACATGTAGAGCTTTCGACCAGTCACTCTGGTCTTCTTCAGCAGACTGACCCAGTGAGGCTTGTCACATGGCTTCTTTGAAGTGTGACGTCAACACTGATCAAAGGTATCTGGTAGACGATGTCGGCCCCCATCACGGTTCAATGAAGGGTGATGGGTCAGTCTACTGAGGAAGACCAGAGTGACTGGTCAAAAGCTCTAGGTGAGAGAATTTTTTGTGTTGGACCAAAAGAGTTAACTTTAAACATGTAACTACCACGTTGAACACAGATGAACTTTCATGACAGTCCAGTGTTTATTTGCTCAATAGTGTAGCATGCGTAGTCCAGTGGTTAGTGGTCCTACATTGTGCCTCTGGCAGGGAGTTCACATCTCAGATGCTGTCACTCACCAAAACGGACACTAACATCCCCATCCACCATCTGAATGGCTTAAATTAACGGCTTTCCTACATACAAATTTTGTTCCATATAAGTTCCATTTTGTTCCATTTTTCACTTGCTGGAGTCCCCATCTTGTATACTGTAATTAGCTATCATGGTACTGACCGTTCTCCATTTTTCATAAACACACTCGTTTGCCTTAAAGTGATATTTTTGCGCCAAAACTGAAAATATAAATAATTGAAATTTTCTCATCTAGATTGCCATTTTCGATAACTTTCAACATATTACCGTTGCTATTTCGCGTTTTCGGCTACTCAACGCCGGCTACTCAACGCCGGCTACTCAAGGAGCCTCCTTTTATTATTGTAAATAGAATGTAAACAAACAACAGCTTTCATTCAGGAATCGTCGGCAACTCCGGCACATGTCTGCATGGGTCCAATGCTTCGAACGCAGAACACATTCACACAGTAACAGTTTTTCATACCAAGAAACAAATTTTATGACATTACATGAAATGTATCAAAATGTAGCGGAAACTCAGGATGGTCTGTGTCAGTAGCTACAACTGGCCCAGGGCTAAAATTTCACGTGTGCACCGTCGTGTTCTTTTGGGGGGCAAACCAATTTGTCCTCAAATTAACCAGGGTACTTTGGTATCAATGTAAAGGTGAAGAAGTGGGCTATCATGCTGTGGTATTAGCTAATGGGATCCAGTTGAACAGTAAAAAAGACAAGCACAAATACAAATGTAAACTGGCCAAAAAATTCTAATGTCTGGAAGGCCATAGTGATCGCTGTCATTTTGCAATGCATGAAATATCTAGTAGTACATATGGTTGTAGGGCTAATCCACAGTCTTGGTGTTGGATTGCTCATAACAGCCTTTTAAAAAGTTAACAATATAAATCATGACATTGTCATGTATATGTGTAATGTATAATGTAATTCATAACTTGTAAGCTTTCATCCTAATATATCACTAAATTTATAAATTTGGTGATTCTTGCAAAAAAAAAAATGCTTATTCAGTACCTTGAGAATGGAACGATGAAAGAACAGTGCAAGAAGCAATGCTAGGTCCACCACAACAAAGGAGTCCTTCTTCTCAATGCCCAGGATGCGGGGTGGCCAGAACGGGTCATCGTTGATCTCTAGGACTTTGTTGTTCCACGGGAAGAAGTCAAACTGGAACAAGTACTTGATAACAATCATCACCTGCAGAAAAGAACATTACCTGTTCACCATGCAGTTCACATACGGTGGTCATTATTTTGCCCAGTATGAGAATTTGCTATGAATGCCCATTGGCAATGACATGGACTGGACTACAATTGAACATTGTATAAAGTCACAATTTTCCCAGTCTGTTGGCTCATCAAGGACATTCTGCATGCCTTGAGTGTCAGAAGGCTTACTGATAGTTCAATCAATCAAGCCATCATCGGCAAATAGTCGAACTTGTGACCCTACAGAAGATCATGAGTGTACGGTAAGGAAAGCAGAGGGCCCAATAACACTGTCCCCTGCAGAACTCCAGCTCCAGAGGTGACTCTTTTGTCTCATGTTCTGCCATCAAATACAACATTGTGGGTTCCCTTCAAGTGAAAGGCTCTCTGAAGATGGCCAGAAAGGCCCTTCCTGAAATCATCTGCACAGGGGACAGATTGTTCTTCATATTTTTTTTCCACTTCAAATACGAGTCTTCCTGAATTATTTCAGCATCATATAGTTTTTATGATAAAATGCATGTAACTCTTAAGTTAAATCCGACCTATTGAGTTCTTTGATCATGTTTGATCATGGGTCATGAATATGTCACATTCTAGAAAACTAAACGGAACATACACGAAGATGTTGCGAGTGGTTTTCAATACACCATGGTGGAAACACACTACTAATGAACAGTTATACGGTTCGCTACCAAATGTAACTTCAGTAGTCAAATGTCGTCGACTAAGCTTGGCCGGTCATGTAATACGTAGTGAAGAACCAGCCAGTCGTCTTCTACTCTGGAACCCTGATACCTGTAAGAGAAGAGGTGGACGCCCAAAGATAACAGTTAAGAAACTTATTGAAACTGAAACTGGCTTGGAGGGACACAAACTTTTCTCAGTGATGTATGACAGACAGTTGTGGCGAACTAACTTTGTATGCTCCACCTCTACGGAGGATGAATGATGATGATGATGATGATGATCATGTTTTCATTTGGGCTTTGTCTTGCATAAGAAAAGACAAATATCATGATTTGTTTTACCTCAGTATAGATGATTGTAGTCATCCAGAACCTCTTGCTGGGCCTGGGGACAGACAACATGGCCCACAGGAACACCAGCATGGGCAGCGGCATGGCCAGCAGGCTGGCTGACTTGATTGTACTCATGATGATCAGGAAGTAACACAGCATCTCTGATCGAGAAATAGCAGCATACCAAATGGCAAAGCAGAGCTTCAGAAGGCGTGGCTGCTTCTTGCTGAAACCTTCCGCCTCTTTGATCTCCTTTTCATATTCATCTTCCTCACTGAGAACAAAATTTCGAATATTATCAAGTTATTCCCAAGTTTGGTATGTGAGGCCATCAGGCCATACCATGTTAATACTCCAATCCAAGACATACCAAAGACTTAAAAAATGACACATACTGCTGTTTTCTGTTTAGCATTAAGGCTATATATGAGAGTATGGGAAGGTTAACACACATTACCGAATCGGATGGACTACTCATAATTCAGCTGTGATGCTGTGAAGGGTTTTGATTTCTCAATAGACAAATTAAGATATGATGTAAGGACACCTCCCATTATGGTAAGTGTTGATGCCTGAGACTGTGGCAATTGAAAGAAGTGCTGTGCATGTACCTATACCCATGTTCAGGTTCAGGTTCAGGTCCGGATTTGAGTCAAGAGGTTTAGGTTCAGGGAATTTGCCGGGGAGAGAGGTTTTCAACACCCCACAAGTCTGCGAAGGAGGCGCAGTGTGGAACAGGTCCCAGACATTCAGGTTTTTTTTAGGACTTGAACCTAAATATTTTTACAAGTCCGGAACCGGTCCAGCAAACCAGTACACAGCACTAATTGCATGCTTAGGATATCATTTTTCATGTTTCTGATATTACACTAGAATGGAATGTTGAAAAAAGCTTAATATGTACATGTACATAAAACTGACCCTTATAAGAACACTTACAGTACTGTACTTTGGCTGACTAGCTATATTATACATGTGTATAGTACACAAATGTACCTTTCAGGTGTAAGTGGTATCTGTACCATACAGCCTTCCTGTTGCAGGGACTTCTTGTCTCCATCACTGCCATTCTTCCCAATGCCAGAGGCTTGTGGGTCAGAAGGGGGTAAGGGGACAGGGCGAGATGGAGGGGGGGTTGGTCGTCTAGGGATCCCCCCTGGTTGAATTATCAATATCTGGGGTATGTCCATGACAGGTCGGTCATCACCAGAGTCACTGTGGAAGGGAGGAAGTGACTTTCAGAACTCTAGTAAACAAACACCAACTGAATGAAAAGTTTTCAAGCTTACAGAATAAAGAACAATGATCCTGACTACAAGGATACAAAATACATGTACTACATACAATCATGTATTTTGTTTCCAATTCCTGGCCAAAACTTACAGTACAAAATAAAATCATATTAAAAAAAAAACAGTAAAAAATCAATAAGACATATTTCTTTAACGTTACCAATTGTGATAATTTTAGTCAAATTTGTTTTGTTAATAAAATTTGTTTGAGAATGATATTCTACTAAGGATTCTATTTTCTAACATTCTACAGTTATTTTTGTAAAATAATGCATCTCTTCTACATTCCATGTAATACTATGTTACATCACAGTCAAATGCAGAATTAGTTTTAATTTATGTGTTGTACATATTGTAATTGTCGTGAATCTGTATGTATTGTTTTGTTTGTACCTACGTTGTATTTTTATGTAAGGTCAGCACAATTCAGTGGTCCATAATTTTTTATGTACTGCTGCTATGCTGACCACTATTTTGAATAAAAAATAATCAAGGACGTTCTATAGATTGAACATCCTTGGTTACATGTAACCTTAAGTGCACAAATGTTGTGTCAATTTTGATAAAAAGTGAACAATATAATAATTATATCATTGCTGTTCTACAAGTACCTAAGTGCATCATCCCCCTCCCCTGTCTTCCTTCCAGCCAGTTTGATGGCAGTTTCATAACCCTGGTACACGTCCACCATGTCTTCCACTGAGGCTGATGCTGGGGGGATGTCTGCTCCCTTAAATGGACCGTCAGACGTATCTGACAGAACACTATCCTTCTCATCAGCCTCCTCCAGAGCCTCAGTCTGTCTGTCTTCATCAGTTGTCTTCTCATGTTCACTCTTTGTTTGTACTTCAGGAGTCCCTTCTAACAGCAAAAGGAAACTAGTTACATTAGAACATAATTAGAACGATCATTATAATAGATTTTGAACTTTTAATTAAACAAAGTTGCATTGTTACATTGAAAAACTGTGTGTAACATCTAGGAAGGACTTTATCCAACCATTGGGACCAAATATGTCTTTCATTGAACGTCATTTTGCAGTTGATTCAGAACTTAAAATCTTTTTTTTTTGCAAATCAGAAAAAACAGACAGGGCGAATCCGAGGAACAACAAATTAAATTGGTGTGGCCTAACAGGATAAATCACATGTTCCATTGTTTATTCAGGATATATTCTGTACAACACCAGCTCTTATCATGGTATATAGAGAAAACTTTTGACTTCTCTATTTATTCCACATCCAAGTACAAATGTAACTCAATTTACTCTATCTTCAAAATCTATGTTAATAATATGTATCAAAGTTAGAATTATTCTAACTTTGATACATAACTGTTACTAACACTAAATTGTACTACACGTAAGTAATATTGCAGTCAAATGAATGTGGGATGGCTGGTATACATGGTCCAGGCTGTAACTGAATTGTTTACCTACATTGTACATTTTGAAGTACTTTAATTTTAATATAGCAGAGACATAGTATTACATACATTGTACCTTTCGGCACTGATGGGGATTCAAAGGAGCAGGAGGACGGTGTTATTTTCTATTAGATTATTTATCAATGAATACATATTAGACTTTCTGAAGTAGCATGCATTTTTATCTCCTAAAAGTACGATCTACCAGAAAATAACACCCTCAAAATCCCCGTACTTGCACACATCAAGTATATTTTATGTAGACTATTGCCCTGACATTGGGTCATCATGCCTGATGTACAGCTACATTGTAAACTTTTACCTTCCGATCCTTTTCCACTTTCAGGTGCTGCCTTGGTAGCATCTGACTCCTCTTTACCAACATCTGTTGAATCATCTGACTGCTCTTTACTGACACCTGAGACAGCTGTACCACTGACTGCAGGTGCTTCAGCTGTACCACTGACTGCAGGTGCTTCAGCTGTACCACTCACTGCAGGTGCTTCAGCTGTACCGATCACTGCAGGTGCTTCAGCTGTACCCTTCACTGCAGGTGTTTCATCCTCTATGAATATGTCATCCAGGTCTGTAGGACTCTGATGACCCTTGGAGTCAGACATGTTCTCCTCAGACAGGCTGGCAGCCGCTGACAGGTCCTGCTTCTCCTCTTGATCCCATGTTTCTGTTGTTGCCTTAAAAGCCAGGGGCATAAGGCCAACCTAGAAATCAGGAGCAAATATATGAGGGGCAAGAAATAAACTCAGGCTCAACCAGACACAAGAGTACTCAAACTTAGGGGCATGGCTGTAAAGGATAAAGCCTTTTATGAATGTCCATCAAGATTCAAGCTCAACTATTTGTCCCAAGTAATCTTCACAATGATTTAAGGTTTGGCAGACATTCATAAAGCACTTGGTCCTTCATTGTTAGGCCCCTAAATTTTAGTTGCGCCCCTTGTTTCTAGGTGAAACTGAGAACTTACTGCATGCCCTAAGTGTAAAATACTACAGGTTGCACCTTCATAGAGACTGGACAGTTGGATACAAAACAATCATCAAGCTGCTAGGAAATCTAACATGTTAACACAACAGTTGTTAGTGAAGTTATGTTTCTATGGCCAGACCAAAATGTTATGTAAAATTATGAAAAGTTGTTCATTCCCTCTTTGCATGGCTACAGTTTAACAAATTATACCAGCTGCAGCAAAAACAAGGTGTTTTTAACAAATCCCTCCGCGATGTTGCATAATCTACGTACGATATGATTTCAGCCCGAATGACATAAAATAACGTATGTCAAAAAATAGAAAAATCTATCATTTCCTGCTCAGGCACGCATTATAGATTGGAGTTGCTTGTATGTAAATAAGGTCCTCAGGATTGGTTAGTCCTGTTCATCAAACTTATCAAGTCCCATTATGGCATTTTCTTATCAATTATGCAAATAACATGCCATTTTGCATTAATCAATGTCAAACCACATTCACCTTTATATGTAATTTCAAAATGCCACATTGAAATTCCCATCATTTACCACTAATTGAATTGCATTTATTGCTCTTTGGAAATTCTCTGATGGACCACCACAGAATTATTGTACATTGTATTAGACTTTCCTCATTTATCATGCAAGTTCTACATAATCTACATAATCACGGGGTCCCATTAATTATGCCAGTCTTCCCAGAAGCTACATGTACACGACAAAAAAACATTTAAAAAATACATAATTTCTAAAAAAGTTGTACTGTTACAGAGTCTTCAAAAAAAGCATTTCCCCCTAAAAGCTGCAAGGGCACCCAATTCTCTACCACTTCCTCTAAAGCCCATTAAGAGCAATTGAGATGTCAACAATAGAAGTTTTGCTTTAGTACAACTACAGGCCAAAAATCATGCTTGCCCTTTTATTTTGCTGACAGCTACCAACATACACCCAAGTTTCTTGAGCCCTGCATATATTATTAATGTAGGTGTAACTTTTTTAAGATGAGTAACTTTTACATTTAGGTGAATGTGGCATAGCACCTGTTGTAATATAATTTTAAATTAGTGCAAACCAAATGAGGTAAAAAACATGGTCAAAAGGAAGAGGAAAAGAAAAAAAAATGCAGGGAGTGTCTGTGAACATCAGGTTTATAGTATCATTCTTACTTCCAGTGATACTACTGTGGATCCTGGACTGACATGATGACAATCCAAGAATCTGATGTTTTAAATTAACAGATTCTGTCTAAACCGTTCACCAGTTAACGTTATTGGCAAATGTGAGGCAACAGAGGGTAACATCCATGCACATCAAGGGGACACCCATTTGTACATGTAAGTTACATGTAGGTCATAAAAAGATGAAAGAGGAAACATACCAGTGCAGCTCCCTGAAGATAGCGAGGCAAAAGGACAGAGACAGAGAAAAGGGTGATTGAGAAGAGTGCAAGCATACAAACCAATGAAAGGGAACTGTACTCGAGTGATCTTGGCTACAGAGAGGTGGCAGATGGAAGGCAGGCCACACAGTTTCAGGACATGGAGGCAGGGAAGACTACAGGAAAGATAATCTGTTAGTAGTCATACATTTACATTGAGGTTAGAGCTGGGAGAGGCAACCTGCAGGAAGGGATAGTATCTGTTTTTATGCATGAAGGGTTTATACACCTGCTGTCAAGTGTACATTTGGTACATTTTGGAATCAATAAAAAAAACAAATACATGTAGATGCTACCAGGTATTCAGAATTCCTTGATGCCACACACACACACACATGTATAAACATTGCCTTTAGAACTAGTTTCGAATTATCAGAATTTGTTCTTTTGATGACAGGTACAATCTTTTACTTAACAACATCTGTCAGATGGCATGATAATATCTTTTAGATGTTTTTGTTTAACACAAAACAGCAAGAAGACACATTAATACTGAAGTCGAACAAGGAATCATCAAACAGTCTATAATGTACTGTAAAAGTGGATTTTTCAGCACAATTAGAAAACAGAATGTATAATTATTAAACAGATGCTCTGGACACAACTGATTGGAGTAGATCTTCCTGTTCTGTCTTTTCTGTCTAACATAATGACGTGCTCTCCTAACATGCTTGCAAGGCCATGTTCACATTAGCCACTTGCAATTTGAGTCAATTTGATTCGAGTCAATTCAATTCAATTCGGTTGCGTTCACACCTGCCATTGAAGATCAATTCGGTTGTGTACACACTGAGTCGTTCAATTCAGCTAGCTTGCAGTTTGACGAATCCTTGTCCTCTTTTTTTGCTGATAATTATATGTTTGTGGATATGTTTCTGAACTGGAGATAATTTTTATTTCATTCTGCATACTTTGTGCCACATTCTACGTTTTCCTTGTCTAGATGACTCTACTAATGTCTATTGATGTCAAGCACATCTCTCATTCTGTTCGACATTTTCCATGCTATACTAGGATACCAGAGACATCAATTCGCATTGATCATGAGCCGAATTGGGCCATACCCACTATCGGTTGAATCCAATACGAGACAATTCAATTCAACTCAATCCACCCCTGAAAGGTAGATTGGAATAATTCAGGATTGAACCGAATTGACCCGTATGTTCTTTAAGTCACAGTCTACCATGATTATATTCTTCAGTCAGACGTCACCCTAGTTCCTAAGACACCCCAGAGTTAGTACATGTGTGCAGGACAGAGTGGAGAGGCAAAATTTACCCCAGGGCACACAGCTGGGTTCAAGGCCTGAAGGAGCGAGGCAGCGATAGTTGTTCCTCGTTGCTGCAAAGTCAGAGAAATAGAACAGCCAAGGAGTTAATAACTAAAGGCACTTTCGTAAGAAAATCTGTTGCAGAAAACATTAGAAAAACATGACTTAGTCAGTTAAATAACAAATCAGAAAATAGCAAATCAGAATAAGTAAGACTTGCAGTATCAAGAATATGAAGTCAGAAGAGATTGATTGATGATAGACTATCATTGCCAATAAAATCAGCATTAATATTGTACATTTTTGTTATGTCTGGCTGGCTACTTTGCAGACATCAGTAATCTACAAAATTTAATGTACAGACTAATAGTATGGAGTGTCATGAAACTGTGTCAAAATGCTTGCCCTTTCATTTTGCCCATATACACGTACAGTATTTCAGGCAAATAAATAGAACAGAAAATGTCCATTTTCCGTTAACAGTGCCATTGGAGGGAACATTATGTACATGTACAATAGTCACGTACGCTCATAATACTGCCACTAACCATAAGTCCACCAAAAAAATGTCCTGCAATATTATTTGGAATAGACTATGAGTTGTTGTCATACATTGTACCTTGTACAACTGTCCATCAGTAAGGTTCATTCAATTAATTCACTAAATAAAATGTGCTAATTTCTCTAATTTCTGAGTGAGACGATTTGTACATTAATATTCTCGTAATTGCAACATTGATTTTAGCATGTCGCTCAAGAAAAATTTTGTCTCGGATGACCTGAAGGCAGCTATATGTATGAGGGTCTGCATGGGGGAATCCACACAATGCTTGATATTTTAGGAAGGCCAACAGTACTTGATGGTAAAGTAAGTTGTTCCTGTATACGGCTTTGAATTCGACTTCGTTAACTGAATATTGGGTGTCTGATAAAATTAGTCTGCGGACACCGGAAGCCCGTTGTAACCTTTGGACTACCTGACTACATGATACTATTAGTAAGAGTTTTACAATAACGATTAACTATGAATTCAGGATAACATTGTCAAGTAACATGGAAGTGACAAAGAATTTCCTTATCAATGAATTAAAGTGGCCAGCTGCAATTAACTGAATTAAAATACATTTTAGTAGCTTGCTACGCCTCACGGAAACAATCAATCAATCAATCAATCAATCAAATGGTTTATTCTCAACCGACTTCGCAGCACCAGGCTGAATATCGCCAAACAGGCATGCAGACCCTCATGATTGTATCAATGGTGGCAAGGGGAAACATCAAATACATACCTGTAGTATTTGTGCTTGTTTAAAACATAATTACCTGATCCTAAAGCAATACACAGTGACGGAGAATAACCTGAAAACATCATGTTCAGGCTTTCTGGACCGTCAGCCATCACTTTAATGTATACCTGGCAAATGCTTGAAGATTGCATTGAACAGAATCACTTTCCAAACAGTACCATTATGTACTGTCACTAATAAAGTTCTTTTAAACAATAGACAGTAACTGTTGTAATTATTGTACTTTGGACACACTCAGATACAGTTGCAGTATGAGAAACTTCAGGTTTAACTGTAGTGTAGGACTACATGTCAGAATTAATTTTATTTATTTCATACATTGTCAAACTTTGCTCATTCAATAATTATTATTCTGTGACTGTTAAGACTTGCAAAGTTCTTAAACTCGTTATGAATAAAATCAAATTTTATTTTGAAACACGGACATCAGAGTAATTAACAGTGTATTTGCCTCAACAACCAGACACTATGTACACAATTAAAATAAGCTTTGTGTTGGACTACTCACCATTCTCGCCTGTTTGGCCAGGAATCTCCTCTCTTTTTGCAGAGTGACTGCGATGTGGCGGTAGTGGTGGGAGAAGCTGTTCAGCCAGTCAATAATCAGGTCAATTGTAGCAACCAAGACCAGCCAGAAGATTCTCAGGTAAAGTTTGAGTTTGTCCAATAATGTTTCTGAAAAGGGACATTATATCATCATGTTTTTAATGTAATTTTTATGCCATGACAACACATTCAAATTTACATCCAAAAATAACTTATTTTAATCCCAAAAGACTATTCATTTTAAAAGACAAATTTTGTCTTTTAAATACAGTATACGCAAACATGTATCACCATATTCACTCCCTAGTTAAGAGCTACTAGCCAAGGTAAAGCAAAAATCAGCAAACCAACGATAAATTAAATTGGCTCCAATCAAGACAGCTTCCAGACCTCCATCCTTGTTTGTGGTCAGGGCACGTGTTGTGTGAAGGTCTGGCACACATTTTATAAAGAAATCACAGGTGGTTGATTGGGTCTGAGTTATGGGATTCATTGTCTGGAGTAAGTTGAATGGAGACCTACATTTGTCATGTACGTACATGTACCAACAGGTTCCCAACTTATTGATAACTTCCTGACAACCAGATCTTTCAACAGTCTTGCAACTCACTCACTCCCATAGCTACGACCTTATTAATTTCACAAATCTACTTCTTCAAAAAGTCAGCTAATTGACAACCTTACACAGATCAACTCCCAAATACGTGGTTGTCTGGAGAAGGTTGGGAGTGGTCTGCTATGAGTAGACGGGGATTAATTCAAAGTTTGGGGACTGTGAGCACCGTGCAGGGATGACGTTTGGCAGAGCATTAAAAGTGTTTTTAGTGGTGAGGGCCAAGAGCACTCTCTCCTTTACTGCAGTGTGCATTCCCATTCAATGACATGAACACAGAAATACATTATAAAAACCTTTCTGCTCTTCTCTCTCCTCCTTCAGCTCCTCTTCTGTTAGATCTTCCACAGAAGCCGTCCTCTTCATGCCCATTCGCCGCAGTTCTTCAGGAAATACATTTTGTTAAACCACCATGATGTTAGAAGTGTTTTAGTCTAAGATTCTAAGCCATTGTACAAGCATGTATACTTGATGGACTGATTAGTGAGTAAATCGTGGCCAAAGCTTAAGCAGTGTGTTGAGACAATGTTTTGTTCTAATACAGTAACTGTAATGCCACACCAATTTAATTTCTTGGTTAACGGGGATCTAGAAAAATAATGGAGCGGGCGGGCGAAAAAAAAAATTCCTAGGCATCCTATTATGGCCCAAAATGGTACGATAGGAGCCATGAAGTCAACACACCTGGTCCAGGCTGGTTCAAAATTTAAACAATGAATTTTGAACTTTTAATGATACCACTGAATTCAAAGATGGAATAACTGTAACAACTAGGAAGAAAAGGACTGTTTTCAACTGTTAAGGCAAAATATGAGCATTTTGCAGTAACTGTTGATTCTGAATTTTTATTTTTATTTGCAAATCAGAAAAAAATGAAGCGGGCGAATCCGTTAACCAAGAAATTAAATTGGTGTGGCCTAACAGCAGAATATTGAGCACATGTGTAGTTTCATGCATCTGATTTTTTAACAAATCACTGATTGTTCTTGTGGTATACATACTAAAGAACCGAGACAGCTTCTTCTTCCTTGCCTCCCTCCTTTTTGCCTTGAGTTGACTCTCAATGACTGCTGCATGAAGGATCTAAGGGAAAAAAGGCCCATTTCTGAATCTGCTAACAGGTCTGCCCCATACATTTCACTCCATCTATAAGTTTTGCATCCAATAGTCAAGTTTAGTCCAACTCCGGACAATCCAAATCAAAATACAAAATTTGAATTAAATGTAAAATGTAAATATTAACTTAGAATTTAGAAATCTAAAGATTCCCAGAAGGACATCCCCCCAGTATTTCAGACTGTTGGCATTTCAACAATCTGAAATGCTCCCCCAAGGAGTTTGATTGTAATTTAAGCTACGGTCACAACCCGCCGTACATGCTTTTTCTCCGTACGTTTTTTGAGAGGCTACATCTGCTAGGTTTTTTCTGAAAACGTGGGGAAGGAGTGGGGTCTACGCACGTCACTCGCACGGTTACACAAAGTGTAAGAGTATGGTCGGCCGTGAGCAGTTGCGTGCATCGTACGTACGTTGCGCAAGTGGTGAGTTGTATGTGCTTACAACGTACGATCTCCGTGCGATTGCAACTTTATCGTAAGGAGGCCGTACTCACACGTGCTTCTTCCGCACGGCACGTACGGGGCACACGCGTCGCTCGTACTCGCACGCACGGGTGTTGAATCCGCAGACCGCACGTAGAAAAAGTTTTACATGCACTTAAAGTTCTACGGTGTGTCTGCGTGCTCCCAAATCCGTAGGATTCCGCGCGGAGGCAGTACTCACCACGCACGGATGCTCTACATTTGCCCACGTTTTTGAACGTAGACAGCACGCAGAAGCACGTACGGCAGGTATAGAGAGCAGTAACGTCTTGTTAAAAGACAATGGAAAATATTGGAAAAATACATTGCCCAAGCACCCTATCTACAAGGAATGCTAAATCTTTCAAACTTCCATGGACTGATCTTCAACATATTAATATGATTTATATCATGTACATCTAAACATGTATTGTTAATACACAGTGCCACCTGAAGTCACACTGTCAGTACATTGATAGAGCTGAAAATGTCTTTAAAACGCTTACGGACATTGGACATTCTCAAAAATTTTTCAAACATTTCTAATGTCTTTACAGGGACTTTACAGAGTCTTTTTGAGGGGGACTTGCTTGTTGTGCTTTTCATTGACATGTTCACAAAGTGTCTGTCTCGCAAGCACTACACAAAGCCAAGGCAATTTACAGGGCGGGTCACAATTAATTAATGGACAGACGCTAATATCTTTATAAATACGCATTGTGCTAAACAAAGGACTGTCTCCTAGGGGTCTCCCTACCTGACGAGAGACTATGGATATAAAATGTCCGTCTTGGGTTATTTCAATGTTGTTTTTCAGTAAAATGTCTACTTAACGTTCTTCGGACTGGCTAAATCTAAATGTCTAAATCATATCTAAATGGGCGCTGTCCGTTTTATAGACATTTTTGGCTCTACCAGTGCGCACAAGAACAGTCCTGGAAGGTAAGATAATATGATTACATGTATATATGATCATTGAGTAACTGTCAAAACATGTCAAACCTGGAGAGGTCCAGCCTTCTGATCCTCCTTGGTCTTATCCTTGGCCTCTACCTCCTCCAGTTCCTCCTCATCAGACTCATCACTGTCTGACTCAAACAGGTAGTAATCCCCTCCTCTGATGGCTGGACAGAAGAGTCAAACAGTCAGACAATAAACTGGTGGACGTACCAACCACTAAGTATCTGATACCAGCCCAGAAAAGAATGAGAAACAGTCATGCCTTCAAATATCATAGTTTTCAAGTTCACCAAGAATTGAGGCGTTCAAAAAGTCGTATTTCCCCAGAACTATCGTAGACTGGAACTCGTTTCCACCAAGCACATTTGTGGCATCACACTCACTCACTCTTGATCATCACTAGAAATCTTTAAACAACTCCAGGACCTGTAATTAAATGTGCAAATATTGAGTGTAACAAGTCATTCGGTGTGATCTGCCGCCGCGCTGCGTGCCTGCGAAGCTGGTGTGTTACGCCGAAGGGCGGTTATACCGGCTATACTGATACAGATACTGACAGTTCCCACCAACAGAACTTCTCACGTCCTTTTAAACTTAATGCTACATGTAATATAATAAATTTCTAAGATTCTTTACATGTCTTTCAGTTTTCCTGAAGTATGAAAGCTCCATGATGTTGCCCTGTGGAAAGGCTGTGCCCTGTGCTGTTGACACAACATCTGTGTGTGTGTTTTCACACTGCTTGATGTACGCTTTTTAAATGTTTATCGAATGTATTAAAAACTCAACCATTCAGCAAAAAATAACTTGTGTACACCATCAACCATTCAGTCGGCCATAGACAGCGAACATGTACCCTGTGTCCATACATGACAGTCTACCTGTACTATATTCTTATGTGGACCAAAATTGACAAGAGCAGGGGGTTCACCAGTCCAACAGTACGTAATAATGAGAGGGAAATTCAATGTTTCTCACAAGTCCGGGTCCACTAAAACCAACCGTCTTGCACATCATTCTTCAGAAGGACCATAAAACAACAGTTGTTGTCACATGACACAGCATTTCATGTACATACATGTACACATAACTTTAAACTACAAAGTTACAGCAAAATCCATGTACACAATCATGCATATACATGTAAATTCAATGATATAATATTATGTGTGATTAGATTTTCTGGGCTTTGAATTCTGTGTTCCCAGTGAAGAACTTGGCATGTCTTAGTGATCTCAGGTTCCAGTGGTTAAAGTCAAATATGTCATTAATCATGATTGTGTGCATTCTGTTTCACATCACGATATTGGATACTGAGTACCAGATAGTGAGATATTGAGCAGTCCCCGTGTATGTCCTGAAATAAACGCATACAATCATGTAACATTGCATAAAGTATATTGAGTAACTCAAAATAAAACTTTCGAGAACTTTCAAATAAGTATCTCATACAGTGATTGTTAAAGCCAATAGTGGCTGCTGCCATGCATGTATTTTTAATGTTACAATGTAGGGCTAAACGATTTCTTTGGATCATGCAAAAATATTAATAGCGATAGCTGAAGGAAACTCTGGTTAGTAAATGCATATAACGTTAGTTGCACTACATTGTAACTTCAAAATCAGGCAAATGAGGGAGATTTGCTTCTTTCTATACATTTTTCATCAAATACAAGCTGATTAGGTCATAAACTATGGCTTGGTATCCAGCAGTCAAAATTGTTGTGATGTTTATGCAGTCAAATCTCCAGTTCTCATGACCTGTGCATCTGCATCACCTGGCTGCAGCTATGGTGGAGAAAGTCTACAGATGAGTTAGGCTTGCTGCTAGAAGTACAGATTCTAGATTTAGTAGGAGTGGTGCTACTTTGGCAACATGCTGGAGTAAGCATCAGGCTGCATCTACTGGCACCCTGCATGATCTCTCTACCCCAGGCACCTTCTGAACCAGTGTCATCTCCACGATTCTTCAGCCAGGGGTACTCCTTATCTCGCTTCTTCTTCCACTCCTCAGCCTGCTCCTCAGCACTTTCCTTGTCTCCGCCTTGGTGATTTTTGGAAACAGTGTTCACTTTATGCTGGCATATAGGATCATATCTTACAAATTCATGGTACATTTGTGTATGTACTTAGATTGTAAGTACATGCATATGACAATATGTACTCTTCGTTGTGTATATGTCATGTACTCTTCAGAAACTACACTTCAAATTACAACAAGTCTGAGTTAGAGTTCCGAGATCTCATACATCCATGAAATATGGGCTTGCTTTGTCCTCATTAATTATGCAAACAACCTCTACATTAACATAATATATGCATAGCGATGCAAAAGTTTAAGTACCTTACACATGTTACGAGGTATAAAATTCCCATCAGTCACCAATAAGATTCACAGAATTTTCACATTAATTATGCAAATTAGGTCATCACTTGCATAATTGGTATCTGTTGATGTTCCGCCTGTCACAGATTAAATAGATTACATGTATAGCAGTACCATTATATGAAACACTGTAATTATAGAACTTCCTCATTAATTATGCAAATTAAGTCCTCATTTGCATAATTTGCATTTAATCATGTACAACTGTCTCTCAGGTACCTACACACCAAAAATGATGAAAATACGTTGTTCCAATCTGGACTTATTGGCTTTGACCAGTTTTTACCAGAAACTAACCTGCAGTTCCAGAACAAGCTGCTAGGGGCACCAAACTTACACCACTTATTCCTGACAGGATAAGCTTTCTGTCACCAAAAAGTCAAGACCATAGCTTGTTCAGGACAAAAGATACAAAAACTGGAAGTTCTGCTGCAGTACCAAGGTCATCCACCAGGAGGCCCATACTTGACCTTGAGCTCTGTCTTTCCAAGACTTACCAGCATACTAAATATCATCACAATCCATAAAGGCGTTCTGAAGTTATGCTGACTACAAAGTTGCGGAAGCACACACAGACACACACACAGACAGACAGACACACACACAGACATACAGACAGACACGCCAAAAACAATACCTCCATTTTTCATGGAGGTAACAAATAGCTTTTAACTTCCATGACATCTGGAAACTGAAGGTAAAAAGCTATATTTAATAATGGCAGATATTACAGAAAACCAAAATTATATTACATTTGTATTAATTATGTATTAAACTTGAAATTCAACATATCAAATGTGCCAGATTCTGATGCATCCAAAAGTATGCAGCAGCTGCTTGTTCGTTAAATGGATTCAATTTCTTCATTAGTCTTTTAGTCTTCATTAGTCTGGTAGTCTTTTATTCAACTGGAAGGTGACAGATGGTCACCGAAACATTGACTAAAAAAAAAAAAGAGTCTCTTTACTCAGTGTCTTTCCACCCTGATGAAACTATTCAGAACAGAACTTTGTTTACTTTACACATCACCTGTGATCACGAGGTCATTACATCATGGGGAATCCCCAAATACCAACAGTTTGGTGAAGACACCAGCAACAGGTAAGAAACACCTGCCCTCCTTCTAATCTTTGATTTACCCTTTATATTCAACTTTAAGTCCAAAACTTACTCCAAGTCAGTGAATACAGTACTATGAACAATTTCAACCCAGAAACCAGGAACATGGTACAGTGTAGGGTCCACGGTACCCCTACGGTACTTAAGGGCCCATCCAGGTCCATGTATGTGCACCCAGGCATTTCAGTTACTTTGCCTATGAAGGTCTGGTAGCAACAATAAATAGAAACTAAGTTAGAAAGATACGAAGTCAGGACAGGTCTATGCTTTGTGTACAAAAAACAATGTAGGACTGGGGTAAAGGTACAAACTTTTAAGGTAAACACCCCTACTCTGGCCCATAATCAGTCTAGAACAATTTTGGCCCCAGGTTGTGTGCTGTGCAAACAGTTACCAGAGTACACAAAGACCAGGTGAATACTAATAGGTGAATACCCTTGGTCATGGAAATTTCCACCAGGACTGGTGTTTTGGCTTCAGTGCTTTGTGGGTACATGTACATGAAGTAGTTGTTTGGGAACAAGTTTTGACTGGATCTTTCTCATGATGAATAAGTTGCTTGGTACGTATATGTCTGTTGTGAAATAATTGATTTCCGCAGATTATACAATGTGTACAATGTTACTGTGTTTGTACATTGGGCGTGAGATATTGACAGTTAAAACAAAGGTCACTGTTTGCTTGTCAAATGACAAATACAAGGAAATTTCTGTGGCTCCTGGCCTTGATGGTTAGTTTTGACTAACCACTGTGATACTTCAATTTCTTATCTTAGATTTCACACTTTCTAAATGTATTTGCTAAGTTTTGTATCTTTTAGATTATTGAGGGTACTAAGTCCAAAAAGTAGAATCTATAATCTGTTACACTAACTGTTGCCTTGTTCTTTTTTTCTAGCTGTTGCTGATGCCTACAGGTTGCAGTTTGGGGAAAGACTCATGAGTACAAGGTACAAGCAAAGTGGCCATTGCTAAAAACTTAGCTTCAAATCAAATAATTAATGTGTACTTACAAAAAGTAAGTACAAATGTATGCACAGTGCAGTTATTTGCAATTGCTAAAATATTTATTGATTTATTCAAGTGCATATTGGAACAGTTATGATCATGACACCAAGTTTGTCTTCCTTTATATAAATATCATTATAATATTATATTACAAAAAAAGTATGTGTCTGACGGATGATAGTTTCCATACTAAGTTATTACCAGTATAAGTAACTAATTTAAATGTCCTTGTGTTAACATGCAGGATTTCCTGTCATCATGAGGGAGGTTTTCTGGCTACTTCTGCTGTGTCCATGGCTGGTCCTGGGTCAGCTAGGACAAACTCCCACCGGATCCCCAACAGCTGATAGTTTTGAATGTCCCGAGTCTTTTGTATGGGATGTGTATGTGATGAACTGTATACCATGCAGTGTATGCATCTCATACCCACAGTCACCATTCTGTTCTGCATGTCCTGGGTTCATTTATCATGAATCTACAACCCAGGATGTTATTGTCCTTGCTACACATTCACCAGATTCCGAAGTGAATTTGGAGTCATTTGATACAGGTGATGACAAGGACGATGGACTAGACACAGGTGAGTAATATATAACTTGTAATAGACCGTTCCTTAACCACGCCCCCCTTAGCAACGCCCTAGCAACTCGAACACCTCCGGCAAAATCAGCACAGGAAGGGCCATGCTGGCCGCCACCGCCAGAATGTCGGATTTGCCGTCCAACTTTAGGGTCAAGTTTTCGGCAGCCCCCAAAAAGCTTTCTTTGTTGAAGGACACAAAATTAATGCAGAGTAGAATTATTTGAGCAGGGACAGGGTTAGTTTTTAAATTAGTGGCAGCAAAATGTTTTTTGCTCAATGCGGACACAGGATGTGCCACAGTCAACATTACACGGTAGGCGGACAACATTGCCCAGTTGCTGATAAACAGCCGATACATGTGTGAAACAGAGTACGTTAACTTTATCTGTGACAGGTTTTCCATGGCATTTGCTGCATGCATCACAGCTGCATACAAGCCAGGACAAAAACCAAAAGAGAAAAAAACAGCTTGGGTGGTCACGAGGAAAGGCACAACTTATTATTGGCTTTGTGATACAAGTAGAAACACATGTAAGCATGCAAACACGGACATATTAAACAATATGGTAGCTTTATAAACAAATGCATGAATAACAGAACGTCTGTTGCTGCTCTTAGATTTCCTGCGCTGATTTTGACGGACCTGTTTGAAATAGAACAGGGGGTTTGATGTATTCGATCATGATCGTTCTATTTCACCATAAATGACTTAAAAGTTATAAAGTTTTCAAAAAGTTTAACACATTTCATCATATGATTTAATCTCTTTTTGAACACATCACATCCATTCACGATATGAGCCAACCTGAAAATGTTCAAATTTTCCCACCCAATGTAACTGTTTTCCCACTAACATTATTATAATATTATATAAAATTCTGCAGCCAATAAAACTTTAAAAGTTCATTGTATGTGCAAGCAATGCAATTATCATGTTTGGCTTTCATATACAGTGTATATATATATAATAATTATATATAGTAGTTGGAAGACTTGCTCCAAACATTTTCTGTTCTGAGCATTTAACTGAGAAACATAATTTTACAAGAACTATATTCTATAACTATATCTTTTACAGGGATCATACAATATGTAGTAGCAGCTATTGGAATAGTTTTGGCGTGTATACTGGTGATGGCAGCACTTTTGACAAGGCAATGGGTAATCTGCTCCCGAAGAAAAAGAATTGGGTAAGGTGGAATGTGTCATAATTCATATCTTCCTAAAAATTTATAAAAAATTAAATGTCAATTTTTTTCTGGTGCACATGCAGTTGATCTTGTAGCCTGTCATTTTATGAATATTTAGTACAGTAAGTATCATAATTAAATTAATAATTTTTTTTTCAAAATAGGCAGCCAAAATTCAGCACATCAGATTCTGAACTGCCTGCTGGAGAAACTATGGACGACATGACACCATCCAGCCCTTCGTCTGTACCAAAAATTTATGCATTGCCAACTGATTCAATCCCAACAATTGCACACATGCCCCCAAAGAAAAGTGTTCACTTTGTGTTTGTGCCTGACAGACACATTTCTGACTCAGATTCAGACATTAGCTTGGGTAAGGCTGGTAGATCCATAGCAGATGGTGGAAGTAGCATGAAGTCTAGCACCTTTGCTACAACTAGTTGTAATGATGATTTTACAATCCCCACAGTTTCACAGGTGCCCCTGAAGAAAAGTATCCACTTTGTGCCTGACAGACACATGTCTGACTCAGACTCAGACATTAGCTTAGTTACATGTAAGACTGGTTCTTCAGCAGACAGTGGATACTGTACATCTGCATCAGCATCATGCATCACTGTCACAGTGTCAAAAATGCCCCAATGGGCAGAAGAAAGTTGTGTCAAGAGCAGTTCTGTAAAACTACAAGCATGTAGCAAGAACCCCAGTGGTATGCTTCCGAGACTTAGAGGCCATAATCATAGTGATCCAACAATCCCCACAATTGCACAGAAGCCCCTTAAGAGAAGTGTCCACTTTGTGCCTGATAGACACAATTTTTGTTCTGACTCAGATTCAGACATTAGCTTGGGTAAGACTGGTAGCTCCTCAGCAGATGGTGGTACTAGAACTGCACCTGCATCATCTAAGTTAAACAGTAACAGTGTGACAAAAATTTCCCAGTGGGACTTAGAGGAAAGTTGTGATGAGAGCAGTTCTGTGTCTAGTAAGAGCACCGTTGCTACATCTGGTTGTAACTCAGTTGTTTCCTTTGCGGAGGCTCTTATTGGCAAAGACGGGGGGATCTTGATGCTCCCAAATGCTGCAACTTCTCTACTGTTCAGTCCACATTCCATCTCAAACCAGATTGACATTACCCTGGAAATACTGCATAACCCAGTAGCATTTCCAGACTTACGTGCAGATGAGACTTTGGTCAGTCCTTATGTATTCTGCGGTCCTCACGGCTGGACCTTCCACAAACCTGTGCTGCTGACATTTCCACACTGTGGCATGTCTGACAATGACGACTTAACTTTACTAGTCAGTGAAACAAGTAGCCAACAGGCTCCAGATTGGACAGAAGTTAGCAGTGCTACCCCGGGTATTGAGTACTTTGTCAGGGACAGTGAGTGCCTTGTGTACACAAGCCATTTCACTGGGTTTTCTTTCAAATCTAAGGGCCCCAAGCAAGTACGTTTACTTGCCTTTTCAAGCTTATCTGACAACTTGTACAGGCTCAGGGTCTACTGCATCAATGATACGAAAGACGTTGTTGATCGCATCAAGAAGGAAGAGCAGGAATTCGGGTTCAAGCAGACAGATAGAGGGGTCTCAATGACTTTCCTAAACAACAAGAAGGACTTGCACCTGAAGGCACACCTAGAAACACCAGGTTGGAAGTTTCTAAATAGTTCACAAGAGCTTGTCATCAGCTATGAGTCAGTTAGGGGAAAGAGGGATGGCAATGTGCTGTTCAATCTTCAAGCAGAGCCAGAATCGGACAAAGACACATCTATTATCTCTCTCCGTATCCATGCCTTGCAGGAAGGTAACACAGACTCTCCAACATATATCGTTGCAGAAAAGGTACATGTAGGATGGTGTGACCATAAGGGCGCATGTAACTGTAAGACTCCATCGCATCTCCAAGTGCAAAGGGTGCACACTGACATTACAGACCAGCCAAAGGTGTCTTTTAAGAACTCACAAGGAAGCCACAGAAACCTCACAATCCCACACAAGCTTCGCACTGAGCTTTGCATCAAGCTAGATCCAAAAAAGGCTTGTGGTAAAGATTGGAGAAGTCTTGCGAGTGAACTGGGCCTTGACGAGCGCATTGAATTCTTTGATTCAAAGGAGAGCCCAACTGAATTGGTACTCCAAGAATTTGAAATGTCTGGGAAAACACTGAAAGACCTAACGGCTATCTTAACAGGCATTGAAAGGCCAGACACAGCTTATTTGGTACAAGAGCATCTTCAGACAACAAGCTGTGATTTGCCCAGTCCTTTCAATGATAGTGGTGTGGGGAGTCCTGATACAGATGCATCAGAAAGAGATGGCACCCCTTCTCCAGGTTCTGACAAAAAGTTCTTTCCAAACAGCCTTTTCAGAGCAGAGGAGAGAACCTCTCCAAAATACATGCATCGTGGAGAGTCTGTCCCTTCTCATGATCTATACAATTCCAGTGCCAATACAGAGACCTCAGAAAGATCTACAACTACCAGTAGTACTTCTGACCAAAAGTTCTTTCCAAATGGCCCTTCGTTGGCAGAAGAAAGAAACTCTCCACAATACATGCATCGTGGAGAGTCTGTCCCTTCAAATGGACTGTACAATTCTAGTGCCAATACAGAAGCTTCAGAAAGAGATAGCACTTTCTCACCAGCTTTTGATCAAATGTCTCTAGATCTTCCAAACAGCCATTCAAGAGCAGGGGAGCAAAACTCTTCACAGCACATGCATTGTGGAGAGTCTGTCCCTTCTCATGAACTGTACAATTCCAGTGCCAATACAGGGGCATCAGAAAGATCTACAACTACCAGTGGTACTTCTGACCAAAAGTTCTTTCCAAATGGCCCTTCACTGGCAGATGAAAGAAACTCTTCACAATACATGCCCTGTGGAGAGTCTGTCCCTTCAAATGAACTGTACGATTCCCATGCCGATACAGAGGCTTCAGAAAGATCGAGTCCTACTGCGTTCTTTCTAAAAGGCCCTTCGGGGCCAGAGAGAAACTGTCTACCCTACCTGCAGTGTGGACAGTCTGTCTCTTCTCACGGTATAAACGATTCGTACCAATCTGCGACAGAGCCAAAACTGATCCAAGAAAATGAAGTTGAAAGTTCTATGCAGGGCTTGGTACTGAACAGTACAGCCAGTGATAGTGATGAGACAGGGAATGTTGAGGTTGAGGAGGTAAATGATTCTAACTCTGAGATGTCCCAAGATGATCAGAAGTGTACTGAAGTTATGGTTGTTTCCATTCCTGGAAGAGAAGTTGAGCATTTTGCAGAGGGACGTCGTGAGACAGCAGTCTAAATTTATGAGGCTTGACACTGTCCTTAAAAGTTCATGATTTAGAAATGTAAATGTGAACCCAGCTAGAAGGTTTCATGGCCTGAAAGATAGCAAGTAACAGCTGATCGCTGAGAAGTGAAGTACAAAATGTGTGACTTTCAATATGATCAAGTTCATTGTGTGACTAGAAGATCATCTCCAAAGAAAGCTTAGAATGGAATGTGGACTCTTCAAACAGAGAAAACAGCAGTGAACCCTGTTAAGTTTTGGTTATGGTATAATGCATGGGATTGCCTAATCCTATCAAATATCAGTTCTCAATGTATAGTACCTGTTTGCATCGTTATTATGAATATAAGTGTTTAGATAAAGTAGCCTCAGAGTCTGTACTTTTTATATCATACTTGATGTATAATTATTTACGTATATTGGTTTGAGTGTGCAGTGTTGTGTGTTTGATGATTAAACAAGCTATTTTACATTCAATAATATTACTATATTTTTATATGCATCTTTGTTTCACTTTGATTTGATACAGACTTTTTTGAAGTACAAAGGTAGCTGAAACAGATTATTATTGAACTCCACTAACAATCCATCAGCCTTTTGGACACTCTTGAAAAATTACAAATCAAAAGACATCATTTCAACTCAAGAATCAATTCCCGACGAATCTCTCCACCTGCACTTTAAAGAACTGTATGGAGAGAATCTTCAACTCAATGCCACAGAACCCCCCAGCAGTTTCCAAATTCAGATCAAAAATAAATTATCGGAGTTAGAAGATGCACTTATAGTCGATAACAACCTAGACGTTCCAATACAGAGGAATGAAATCAAAAAAGCTATCTCAAACCTCAAGAATGGCAAGGCTTCTGGAAATGACTTAGTTCTAAATGAAATGCTAAAATGCTCCCCAAACATTCTTATTAGACCACTTACCAAATTATTCAACTTGTTTCTGTCCAATGGCTATTTCCCCCAACAATGGTGTAATAGCCACATTGTTGCCCTACATAAGGGCGGGGCAAAAGATGATCCCAGTAACTATATATATAGGGGGATATCAGTTACTAGCTGTTTGGCCAAGCTATTTACTTCCGTACTTAACTCACACCTCACCACTTTCCTAGATGAAAATAAACTTATATCGCCGAACCAAGCCGGCTTTAGGACCAAATTCAGAACGAGCGATAACCTCTTTGTAATAGACACACTTCTAAGTAAATATCTTTCGGAAAATAGACGTATTTACTCATGTTTCATTGACTTTAAGAAAGCCTTCGACTCCGTTTGGAGAGAAGGACTCCTCTACAAATTGCTAGATTCGGGAGTAGGTGGAAATTTTTATAAGTTAATTAAATGCATGACTGTACTCCAAACCTCAGACATGCGTCAAAACATCATCCGGGCTAACGCCGTCATTTGCAACTGTGAAAGGTGTTAGAAAAGGGTGTAATCTTAGCCCGACTCTTTTTAATCTTTTCATAAATGATTTAGTACTACATGTACTTGATGATATTGAATGCTCACCGCCCTCTCTACATACTATAGTTTATTTGTATCGTGTCTGTTATACGCAGACGACATTGTATTACTTTCCGAGTCCGATAAAGGACTGCAAAGCGCTCTAAATAGATTGAAAGACTTCAGTGCCAAATGGAAACTTCAAGTTAATTTAAAGAAAACGAAAGTTATTATTTTTAACAAATCTGGTCGGTCTTTCCCACACCAAAGTTTTATGTTTGGACAGGACAAAGTGGACATAGTCCACTCCTACTGCTACTTGGGCCTGAATATTACCTCATCCGGTAGCTTCTCTCTTGCAAAAAAAACAGCTCTCACTCAAAGCAAGGAAAGCCAGTCTCAAATCTTAAAAACGTTCTTCTGTCTCTCCGCAGTGCCTGCTCAGAATATTTGACGCTTGTATCAAACCAATACTTCTGTATGGGTGTGAGATCTGGGGAAAAGATCCTGTAAATGAGACCTCACCAATTGAAAGTTCCCATAACCGTTTCTGTAAGAATGTACTTGGGGTGCATAGAAATTGTAGTAATGTAGCTGCTAGAGCAGAACTAGGAAGACTCCCGTTAGATTTAGATATATCCCTGCGTACTGTTAAATTCTGGACTCACTTGACACAACTTAATACCGATACCCACCCTCTGCAAGTTGATGCACTCCTGTTACAATATAATCGTAGACGGACATTGTTACAGCGAGTGAAGGAGATCCTCGATCACTGTGGATATTCCTACCTACTGCATATTGATAGTGCAGCCTGTGATCCTCAACTTATGTATAAAGAATTAAGGACAAGGCTTTCAGACATGTACATTCAAACTTTCTTTCATAGTTTGTCTGTTAATACCGGCAAACTGAGATTCTATAATAGAAAATGTAAAACTGAATACTGTTTAGAACAATACCTAGAACATTGTGACTTCGATCAGTGCTCCGCTATTAGTAAAATTAGAATCAGTGCCCACTCCTTGGAAATCGAAAAAGGGCGATATATGAAACTACCTGTGTCGGAAAGAATTAATAAATATTGCTCCTCAAATGCAGTGGAAGACGAAATTCATTTCATCTCTAACTGTCCATTTTATGACGACATCAGAAATCAATTATTTACCACCGTGTCCAAAATGCTCCCTTACTTCCCCACCATTCCTTACCACAAAAAAGCAACTTTACTTCTAAAATCAAAGAACCCACATATTATAGGAGAAGTGGGTAAATTCGTCTTCCATTGCCTAAAAAGAAGAAGTCAAACCCAGTAAAAACTAGTGTCATGTCATGTTGTAGCATATAGTATAATCTTAGAAGTAGATATAGTCTCACAGACTGTATTTTCTTTCTATGTTGTTTGTAACTGCAATTAGCCCTCGGGCAAGTATTTGCAATAAACTTTCAATTGATTATTTTTTGGAAATATGAACTAACTGTGAGTGTTTGAATTTGCATTCAATGTGAGTGTTCAGAGTAAGAGATAGCCTCAGTTACATGTACTTGATGTGATTTTGAAGTTGTGTGTTTGATGGTTCAATGGTCCAAGTTTGCTTTTTTAAATGTTTGTGTCCATCTTTGTCTCTGTCTGCATTTTGTTGGACTTTTTTTAATAGCTGACATAGATTAATTCTAGGGAGATGAAAAGGTAAAATGTAATACTAATAGCTTAAATTGTAATACTATGATAATTGTATAATAATTGTATAATTGATCTCAAGTTTGTTGTTTTCAATATTAGTTACATTTTTAGGTTCATTATGATAAATTGCTGAGCCTATTTTCACATTTAAAAGAGACAATATGTCTTCATTCTGAATCAAGGCTGAACTGTGTTTTAACGTTCTGCATGGATTAGTGCATATCTTTTTTATTTTATACTTTTTATACTTGGAACACATACATGTACGGAGAATGCATACAGTAACACACACACAGTCACACACACATCCCTAAGTCACACACAGTCACACACACGCACACACAGTCACACATAATCACACACACACACACACACACACACACACACACACACACACACACACACACACACACACACACACACACAGAGTCACACATACACCATTCTGAATGTAAAGATAAAACATGCATAATTCTAAACAACAATGGTACAGATTCTTACTTTGAAAGTGGTCCTTCTCCTTCTCTGTTTTTTTCAGAAACTTGGCCTGTTTGGCACGTATTCTCTCCATGCTAGTAAAGAGAAAATGCTTATGAGACAAATAAAAAATCTTAAATTAAAACGTATTTCATGTGACATTGTTCAATGTACAAGCCAAGTTGGTTCTAAATAAAATTGAAATGAACTGAACATTTGACAAATTGACACAATTTTATGCTTGTTGAACAAAATATTTTATTCATTGAAGAGAACTTGTGTTTGACTTCTTATTATGGTGGATGCTGTGTGTTGCATGTTGTACAATGTACATTGTGCTCGTGATGTACATTGTTCTTGTATGAGGCAAAATCATGCCTGTGTGCAGGTATGATCATATTACTAACGGTGAGAAAGAAGACTGATCTGTTGTTGGTAATGACAAATTCATGGTATACAGTAAACATAAAGTACCTTGAAAAAAATAGCATTTAGAGTATAAACTATAATTTTCATGAAGGGGGGGGGGGATTTCAAATCATGATTGTGGCATCACTCATCTTTACTGTCAACATTGATATCTGTTAAATGTGATATCTAGAATTTTCAGCAGTCATTACAATCATTATGGATTATATACATTGTACTTTCCGGAGGATTGGAATTTCAGATTTATATTTCAGTCCATACCATGGTATGGATGAAATACTAGTATATTGTGTTCTCTCATGTTTCTCCTTCTTCTCCTGCCAAACAGTCAAAGGGATTCAACTCCGCCATCATTCAACCAAATGACTTGAAATTTGGCATGGAGGTAGAGTGGGCCAATACGCCCAGGCACTTTTTTCATTTTTTTTTATAAATGCCTTCGAAAAATTTTTATGAAGGTTTTTTTGGGGCATTTTTCGCCAAAAAATGGATTTTTGGATCCTGAGCGCTGGTTTTACAATCAAATGATCTGAAATTCGGTATAAGGGTACCTTGAACATGTGTCTACAGAATTGCAGTCACATATTTGGCATACGCCACTTAGCTTCCAAATGACTCATTTGGGGGACTTTAATGGCTATTTTCAGCAAAAAAAGGGCCAAAAGTGCTATACCCGTTCCATGTTCTATCTAAAGAATGGCCTGTTCCATCTGCCATTGGCCATGGAACACGTGTTCCATTGCGGGTTACCTGGGGTCACATTGCACGTAAGTCGTGCGTAATGACCCACACATTCAATTTTATGTGCCTAAGACCTTCAAAATGCATCAAATCTCATCATTGTTAGTATTTGCATACCTGTAATAAGATTAGTAAAGCTTTCGAGATTCAATGTGCTTGTTCTTGCATCTTTGTTCTCAATTACATACTAGCTACTATATATTTCATTTATTTGAGAATCTTTGCAAGTTTTACACCGGGGTGAGTTTAAAATAGACCACTTTTGCGTGGGAGGGAGATGGACTGAAATATGCTGTATTTGCTCCCAAGCAAATGTCGGCCTCTCTAGTTTCTTAGACTTATTCTCAACTATCACCTTAAAGTTTTTACTTAACTTTCAATTGATAAATAAATAAATGAAAAACTTCTATTTACTTTGTGTAAAATGTACTCACGATTTTTTGATGCTAACTAAGATTTTCTTCTCCTCCTCTTCTCTAGCCTTCACTTCCTCAATAAGGTTTTGACGAATCAGCTCTGCACCTCTGGAACATTTCATGTCAAATATACATTGCATTCAACTTGAATTTCTATTTCAATGACTCATTGCATGTGTACAAAATGTAGTTTTGTTAATATATATATTATATATAAAATATTAAATATTAGATATTAAAATCAAAGAACCGACATATTATAGAAGAAGTGGGTAAATTCGTCTTCCATTGCCTAAAAAGAAGAACTTCAAGTCAAACCCAGTAAAACTAGTACCATGTACAGTATGTTGTAGAATATAGTATAATGCTATACGTAGATATACATGTAGTCTCACATACTACTGTATTTTCTTTCTTATGTTGACTGTAACTGCAATTAGCCCTCGGGCAAGTATTTGCAATAAACTTTCATACAATATATAATTTATTGCACCTTGAGGCCAAGGCTGACTGTGCCTGCAGGTCGGCTTGGACATGAAGGAAGTAGTAACTACTGAGGCATCTCTTCTGTAAGAGGAGAAAACCAAAGCAGAACACATCCCAGGCCAACCCTGCCTCTCCCATGGGCAGCTGACATGTCTCCAGTAGGGGGTTGTAGTCCACCTCTTCGAAAAAAAACAGTACATTGGAAAAGTTATGCCTGTCACAGACAAACAGCATACATGCCTGGGTCTTGTTTATTACTCTGAATTACTATGTACATCTCGGTTGGGTTAAGGCGGCCTAGGCTGATATTCATGTTCGAGTTCCGCCGTGTGTCTGCACGATTGCCACAAACATGTTTCGAACCCGAATCATGTTCCACCATGTTCGATATGACGTCATTCGAATAGAACGTGTGTTCGAATTCGGGGTTACCGGCGGTCATTTGTATGTTTCCCCTGTAAACCCGCGTTGTTACGCATTTTATTCACGGAGTATGACTTAAACGGCTTTACGCCCAGCTGAAAACAACATAATTCATCTTTAGAGTAATCCATGTTTACGTATTATCACTTTTTCATCAAAATTGTCCGAGGCTATTTTGCATTTAAGTCGAAATTTTTTAACTGTGGCGATTATTTAACAAAAAATGACAGAAAAATAGCCGTTTCTGTCGTTTTTGGCCCAAAAAAACAATGTAACTGTCATTTAAAACAAAATAGCCTCGGACAAAAGTAATAAATAGGGGGTTGGCTTTCTACTTGCAAAATATCATGATGAAAGGTGTTGTTACCGCTTGGGCGTAAAGCCATGAAGTAAACAGCTTTTTTTTAACCAAAATGTTGATTTTTAACCCAAAAATTCAGAAGTAGTAAAAACAAAATAACCTTTATTCAATGTGTTTCAAGTACTACTAGAACTGTGTGAAGTTAAGTTGTGATGCGACCAAGCTATCAAAAGTTACAGCCATATGTATGAAATACTAATTATAGTTGGCCATAGGCTGCCTTAACCCAACCGAGATGTACATTGTACAAATGTATTTGCAATGATATGACAAATATGACAAGTCCTGTTTCACCTTGGATATTCACTTTTGTTCCTGACTGTCTTATATTTATTTGCATTTAAGTAAACAGTGCATCAGCAACAGTATTTATCATAAACTGGGTGGTAAGCTTAAGTTTGTTCTTTGATTTTCACCTACTAGAAGCTTTAAGCCACCTGGCTTAAGGAATGGGTATTTGATGTTGTTCATTAACATTGTGTGTTCCTTGAATTTGTGTAATCTCACAAGTTTGAGGGATGCATCAAAAGGCCATGGGACTACATGTACAATAAAAGTCATGTAGATGTGAAATACATACAAATTTATTACAACAATACAACTTTTTAAAGTACAGTCAGATTTTTGTTTTGCACATGCTGTACCAAAATTAAATCATCATAAAATTTAAATCATGATTGGAATCTTCAATTTCCTAAATGCCATTCTAGAATAACATTTGTCCAAATTTAGTAGCCCTGAGCAACATTATCAATTAGAAATATTGTCATTCATAACTAAGCTAGTGATACAATGTATAGCAGCAATAATTAAAAATGATGTCCTACGTACCTACATCATACCCTGGAATCATGCATACCAGACTCAGGAGCTGAACAAAGAAGCAGCTCTTCTCCTTTAAAGTCTTAAGATATGCACAGGCAGCAACCTGGAGGAGCAAAGGATAAATGGTACTGCAACAGTTTATGGAGTTTGTAGAGATAGCAGAAGTGTTCTTGACAACCTAATGTAACCCCCCTTAAGCTTACCCTCCCTACATGGCAATGTAGCATGTCATCAGATAACAGTCACTTATCAAAACACAGCAAGGTTGAAACCTTTAAAGTGCTAGCATCAGGCATTTCATCAGCAACATCCATGTGTATTACCCGAGTGTATTCCTTATTACAACAAAATACATTATTGTAATGAGGGGTACCCTAACATCGCATGCTTTTCACGCGCTATTGCTGGTTCTTAGAAGGTGGCCGGGTTTTGATGAATGAATTTTGAAGACATTAAATGTATTGCAATGAAAATACTCAGATTAGAAATCCATACCATTCATGAGCCATTCACGCTTCATGTTACATGCGGCATACACTGAGAGGTTTTCGTGAAATTCAATGTACCTTCATGAATGACTATCTTGCTGGACAACAGCAACGTGTTGTGACCAATGGCGTTGCATCTATTGGGGAAGCACGCAGGCTGGCGTGCCATAAGGAAGCATTCTAGGCCCGCTATTATTCCTTGAGTTCATCAATGACATAAAAGAACTCCCCTGCTCCTCCAATATCAACTTTGCTCTCCAAGTCTGGACCAACCGCCCAGGTAGTGTCCAGAACAACTAACATCGACCTCGAGCTGGTATCTACCTGGTTCCTCGACTGGGGTCTCCAACTTCACCCAGATAAATGCAAATTACTTTGCATCAAGTCCCCTCGAAGCAAGGTGCAGCTTCCTCCCATATACATTTGTACATCGTAGGGCAGGAAGTTGAACAAGTGCCATTCTACACCCACCTGGGAACCACCATTCACCAGATCTTACGCTGGACCGAACATGTCCAGATTACAACCAGTAAGGCCAGGCGAACCCTGGGTTTCCTATGGAAAGTTCAGGGCAAGCTATCCCGGGAGGCACTTGAAATGGCGTAGAACTATACTTTGCATGCAAATAGCACGTGTATGTATTGACTATGTTTAATAAAATATTACCTTTTTCTTTAGCAAAGTCATTGGCAACAAAACTGCATAATAAGATCAGTAAAATTTCCGTGCAAAGTTAGGGCATCCCCCTTACCTGTTTCATAAGCATATGAAATGATAATACTTGAATCCTTTCATATATCAAAGATGAATAGAATGCTGATTCAATTTGTAACTTTCCAACTAGTATAGTGGGAGTGAGAGAAGACATCTGACTTTGTAAAGCAAACTCACCTGCAGAAATCCTTTGATGAAGATGACGGCAAAGTTATAGGCTATCAATTTGTGCCATCTGAAATGACAAAAGCACAACTTGATTGACGCAGACATTTATAACTCTTGAAGGCATGGTTCAATGTTCATGATTTTTGGCAGACAGGTTACTGTTGTGTAGACCAAGGTCAACTGAAAATATGGGCTTCGTGGGGGGTCCCTATGTCAATGCAGTGGACCTTTTGTGTTTGTCGCTTGTTAGCAGGATAATTTGTGCATATGTAAATGTATGTTCATGGTTTTTGGTAGACAGGTTACCAATGTACATGTAGGCACCAAGGTTAACTTTGATAATGGGCCTCGCAGGGGGGGGTGTATTGTTATGGTGAGTCTAAAATGGTCTTAAAATTCATAAAAGCCAATGATGTTGTCAGACATCTTGGAATGGCCTCACCTCTTCAGAATAACGTTGGTGGGGCTCATGAGGAACTCTTGCCCATGCAGCAGGAAATAGAAACAGCCGACGAGGTAGCCCAGACAGAACAGGCTGATCCGCGTGGTGCCGGTGATGAACACGATGGCCAGAGTTACCCAGAACAAGTAGCCAAACACAAATTGCTGTAAACATATGAGAAGAACAAGGCCTACTAAAGCACATGAGGGACATTAATAAGTAAAGTACAATACGATGTTACACATTTGTTTCTTTTAAAACTATGTAATGTAAATGTATATGTAATCGTATGTGATGTATTGTTATGTTTTACATGTACATATAGAATACAACACGGGGTATTCCGTATCGCCCGACGGCCGCAGGCCGGAGGGCGATCCGACTCGCGGGAGGGCCGGGACCGAGGGTGATGCGGAATACACCGTGTTGTATTTTATTTATGTCATACCCACCCAAGAAAACGCGCCTTTCAATGCAAGATGAGCCAAAAGTTGGTGCCACTAAACCCTAAAATGCAACAACATCAATTCCAACGTCCGGATTCTGTATTCGAATTTTCGAAAGGGGCACAAGCGGGTAGGGCGAAACGCGTTCGAATCGTTTTATGGAAGCCATGGAAGCGTTCGATAACGGTTTCCGGACCGGGCCGGTCTGGAACCCGTTATCGAACGTTATCGCGGCCCGGGTATGATATAAATGTATGTACCCTCTCCTGGAAGAATAGCTGCCACCCTCGGGTGGGCAGCTAAAGGAGAGTTTTCCTCAATAAACCTCAATAAACATATTCAACATGTTTGACTCAGTGTTTTAAAAATACTTACAGATGCAAGAAAGATTTCCCTCTCCATAGCTTTGATTCTAAATATAAGTCACATCACATATGTGCAGAGCACATGTCACGGAGAGAGTTACAAATTGTATGTCAAGCTGCACAATATATAACATTGCAACATATTCTGGCAGGCAAATCCTTATCATACAGCATATTATGATCAATGAATCAAATTGGAATTACTTACTTATCATGAAATGGAAAGCAGTCACATGGTTTTCAGCACCAAGGACATGATGCGAGATACATATATTATACATGTCACTGTATGGTCTTATTTCTCTTATTATTATTATAACAAAACACACCAATAAAAACATGTGCTTACCTTTATCATGTCCAAATATGACCTTGAAGGGCAGACAGAAATAGAGTGAAAAAATGGCCACCTTTCAACCATTCTCAGGACATGTATATTGACAACATGAACCGAGATGCTGATTGCAAAAATAACACAGAAACGACTACATCAGAAGCTCACATGTTTACTAATTACTAAATATATGATAATGTGAAGGCTTTAAACAGAGTATAATTACACCCTGGGGAGAATAGTTGTTTACACAGACAACACAAAAGTCCCTGTACTTCTGTTTTCTCAATAAAGCATTTCCACACACACACACACACACACACACACCTACACACACACACACACACACACACACACACACACACTACACAAAACTACACACATACATAGACACACACATACACACATACACACACATAAAACTAAAAATGTTGATTGTAGATATCTTTATTTGATCTTACTTGGCAACAGTAAAATCTGGAACAGGGTTTGTCATCATAGCCTCAATGTCATCATGAATGTCCTGATTGTCCCCTCCTGCCTCTATTGTAGATGGAGTTCCCTCCACCAGGAAGACTTGCCATTGGATAGACACAAACAGCAGCTGGAAGAAGTCCGCTATGAAAAACGAAAAATGACAACTATTAAACATATTGGCATACATTGTATGTAGGTTAGCTACATTGTAGTGTGCAATAGAAAAAAAAAAAACTCAGATGTACATAATACTGCCAAAAGGGGACCGAAGTCATTTTACAGAAAAATTTGATTCCCGTGCATTGCATTCTGGTCAAAATATCTTGCACAAACATCCACTGAGACTACTGATTATCGTGAAAATACACTGTAAGCATAGTATATTACATGGATGTTACCCTTACCAAGAAGGCTCACAAGCATACATGTAAGTCACAAAACTATGAAATCAGTGTACATGTACAAATGTATGTCTTCAAAGTTTAAGTTACTGATTTTGGGATGAACTAGACATTGATTGTAATGGGCAGTTTTGAATAATTCTTCACAAGCCTCCAAGTGACTTCCTTTCAAACTGCAGATTACATGTCTATGAGCAAAATGTTACAAAATTAAACGATAACATTATAATAATGATTGTGCAAAACAAATGGAAGAATGTCAACTAGCTGTACATTTGCCAAAAAGCACATATTCAGTGAACATATTCAGTGAACACATATAAACCTTTAAGTTATTACCTCCATGAAATGTCATGGAGATATATTTTCAGTTGCGTGTGTCTGTCTGCCTGTCATTCTGTTGGTCAACAACATACAATGTAACCTAAGAATGGCTACATGGATTTGTTTTATAATACTTGTTGCGTTGGTAGGGTGTGAGGAAAACTGAAAATAATTTGATTTTGGGCCCCCTAGTGGCTTCCTGGATACTGCAGCGCAACTTCCAGTTTAGACATGCTAGGGACATGAATTTTAGATGGTAGGTACATGTACATACTTGATAATGAACATCAATGGAAGAGAAGGGAATGTGTCACCTAATAGGAGCCAGGAATTTGGTCTGAGATTATAATCTGGTAGAAACATCCACCTCACCAGGTTGTCTGGCATGCCACGGTCGTACCAAGGGTACACTGTAACAGGAAATATGCTGTTAACCACTGTGTCACAAATCAACAAACCTTCAAGTTTATACCGACAAATGGCATAAAAATCAACGATTTGTTCCATGTAGCCTGTCAGGCAATACATGGAGCAGTCTCCTCACCTTTAATGTGTAAGAGTGCAGATAATAACATGGGGGTTGAGCATTGAGTGAACTAGCTACATTCTGCAGGCTACATTGTAAATTCTCACCTGTCCATACCATACGGATTACTGTAGAAGTGCAGCAATGACTGACAATAGGGTAAAATATACAGGGAAGGAATATGAGCAGGAAAGATCTAGAGAGAATTATACCAAGGGCAGAGTTTTTCACTTTCCCACCCATGCTCTTTTACACAATGGCACTACAGGTCTTAGGGATGCAGACACATACTTACAACAACTACGTACATATACCAACTGTTACAAATTATTCTTTTTTTACCAAAAGTAGACTCCTTTATTATGGATTACCTTATAGGATTTGGTGATCATATGATATTCTGACAAGAGGTACATGTACATCTACTACATCTACTACTAAATTAAGGTTTATCATAATGTATTATTTTACACCTACCAACACAGAGCCCTGGAGGCAGGCCCATGCACAGCAGATATTCCACTATCATAATGCTGGACAGGGAAACAGCATAGTAGGGCCAGATGAGCAGATTGTCCTTCCTATCCTTTGGATATAACAAGATGATTCCCAGCCAGATCCCATGCAACACAGCAATGAAATCCAGCCTCAACCAGATGTTGAAAACTGCCATCATGTAACACATCTATGAGAGACAAGCAGAATCAAAACATGGTTTAACTTAGTTATACAATAATTGCAACAAACGAAGAGAAAAATATTGTATTCTTATTGCTAGTTCACCTTTATTTGTCCCATACCAACATTGTCATTTCTAAAAAAATTTAATGGTGTATTGAGGTAGATGTGCTTATGTCCCATCAGTATCACCCCCAGAATTTCAAACTTAAGAGACTTAATTTTTTTACAGCACTGATCAAAAGCTTTAGCAACCATGCAACGAAGAAATTTTCCGACGCTTTTGGAACAGTCTGACTGCACCGTGGGAGATTTGTGCTACAGTGTTGCTGGCTGGAATATCACATACATGTAAATGTCACTTCCGTTTCCAGCTCAACACAATTATTCACAAGCCAACTAAATAAGGCTTGTTTTGCTGGCTGACAATTGTAGGCAATGTTTTAGAAAATGCCATCTTCACTGCCACCGTACATCTGGTAGTCGGCGCGCAAAACTAACATGAAATCCGACCCTATCACATTAACGCAAACGTTAACGCGTTAGAAATAATTTCTGACGATTTTCTAACGAAAATCTGACGATTTTCCTCGTTAGTAACGGGGTACCTGGGTAACTATAACGCGAATGGTACTGTAGGTATCACCTGAAATGTAGGAAGATAAAAACAACTGAGTGTTGTGCTTATATTGAGCTTGTGCAACTACAATATTGTAGCTTGCACATTCCTCTTCTTACCTCTAGTCCAAATTTGTAGAAGAAGAAGTTCGTGAAGTACTTCAGGCACATGAACAAGCCCTCATCAGCATTCACTCTTTTGACACTGGGGAATATGATCCCAGGTAGGGGGTCCTCCGGGGGTAGACCCTTGGCCAACCGTATATGCTTCTGATGTCTCTCTATGGTAACAAACAGCACTAGGAACAACACCACCACCAAGTAATCCTGAAAACAAGAAAGGAGTCATCAGCTGGTGCATTCAATCTACATTGTGTACATGTCACTACCTTCATTTGAATTGGTAAGCCCAGAATTATCTTCGACCAGAAGGTTTTAAATGGCCCTGCAGTTCCAGGACAAGCCGCTAGGGGGCCCAAATTTATGTCACTTCTTTCCCAGCACAAGAGCTACCTATTATCCAAATTTCGTGACCCTAACATGTCTAGATCATGAAATATCAAAACCGGAAGTTCAGCTGCAGTACCATAGGATGCCGCTAGGGGGTCCAAAATCTAATCATTTCCAGGTCTCATCAAGACCTACTGACGTACCAAATATCAAGTCAATCTATTTAAGCCTTCTCAAGTTATTGTGTTTACAGACACACAGACAAACACACACACGAATGCCTATTTTACGATCATAACATAACCTTCTTGGCAAAGGTAAAAAAAAGACTGACCCTGATGTAGTACACGGCTGGGGTACTCTTCCTGAAACCAACCCACTCAGCACTGTCCACACTCTGGCGCCGGCCAGTCACAGGCTGTTCAGTGGGTCCGAAGGTAATGTTGGATATTGGCTGCAGGAATATGAGGAGAGGTACATGTACATGTAACTCCATGCAGGGGATCTATAGAATGGGATACTACTACATGTACACATGTAATACTCAATACATTAGAATGAAAACTCTGATAATGAAATAGAACAGAAGGATTTCTATTTCCTTCTTTAACATGCAATGACGTTTAAGTTCAGTACGTTAATGATTCTGTGATTTAGTACATCTCTGGTTATAAAAATCATTGTACGTCCAATTGCCTCCGGCAAAAATATAAACATTATGTACAATGTACATGTACGTAGGTCTGAGGTATTTTTGTTGCACTATAGGCAGTTGTTTACACCCATGTAACGGGGTGGTGACCTGGGATATGCCCTATTTTAGAGAATAACGCGTTCTACGGTGACCTGCGATTCGACTGTGAAGCCCATTTTGTGTAATCTTGTGAACTTTGACATACTTCATGTGACATACGATACATTCCAGTCAATTTTAATGAAACTAAATTGAATCATTGATACTGCAATACATGACTTCAACCAATTAACATCATGATGCTTTTTGATAATAAATAATAATGACACAGTTTGTAATAGTTTCCACTGTGGCAAGAATGATATTTTCTCCATGATTATCATAACTAATACACAAAGTACTTGGTGTGCCAAGGGTAAGGCTGTAAATTAAATAGACTCTGAGACAAGATTCTGACGATCACAATATTTTGTTGGTTACTGATCATACTTACCAGAGTACAGTTGGTTTCAAAGTGCTCCATCCTGACCATGGAGAGTTGGAAAAGCATCTTGGTAAGAATACCAAATGCAGCCCACACCATACTGGTGTAGAGTGCCGGCTTCCTCATCACCTGAAGTGGGATGGCCAGGGACCACAGCACCAGGAACATCAAGTTCATCACAGACACCTACAGAATAACTACAGTCAGTCATACTGACTACAGCACCAGGAACATCAAGTTCATCACAGACACCTACAGAATAACTACAGTCAGTCATACTGACTACAGCACCAGGAACATCAAGTTCATCACAGACACCTACAGAATAACTACAGTCAGTCATACTGACTACACCAGGAACATCAAGTTCATCACAGACACCTACAGAATAACTACAGTCAGTCATACTGACTACAGCACCAGGAACATCAAGTTCATCACAGACACCTACAGAATAACAGTTACTACAGTCAGTCATACTGACTACAGCACCAGGAACATCAAGTTCATCACAGACACCTACAGAATAACTACAGTCAGTCATACTGACTACAGCACCAGGAACATCAAGTTCATCACAGACACCTACAGAATAACTACAGTCAGTCATACTGACTACAGCATCAGGAAAACCACAGATATCTACAGAATAACTACATTTACAGTCAGTCACGTTACAAATTTTGCTCACACAGTCAGTCAGTCAGTCATCGATCAGTCACTCACTCACACACACACACAAACACACGACACAAACATAAATACACACACTCATACCAAAGTTTCCAGTCTCTCTAGATCTCCTGAAAGTTGCACACACTCACCTCAATAATGGCGACCAGTATCATGGTGAGAAACAGAACCTTGAGGAAGTGGAGCTCCAGCATGCGCCAGATAAGTATGGTCATCTGCTCATACCAAACTCCGATTTGGTAAAAGATGTCTTGTATGACTTGTTGCCCTGCAGGGATGTATTTTGACAATTTCAAACAAACAAGTGGAGTGACTTGGTAAACTTCTTTAACGATTAAATAGTTTAATAGTTTACATTATAATATTATGCACAGTCATTGGTCAGTAGCTTTGATGACCTTTCACTTGAGCCTGCTTGACCATGCTTCCTTCACGCTTCACTCAGTTTCCCCTAAGGAAACATGTCTATGAGCCACAAATTAAAAAGCTTCAAGTCAACCCATTGATCTAAAGTGACATGTCTTTGAACGAAAGTTGAAATTTACACACTCCAATGGGAATCTCTGTCTGTAGAATGGCAGATTTTGCTTTACACCAACAAAGCTTGCAAACAGGAGTCTCAGAACAAAACACCAGCAGTACATATATATTAAGAACTATATATGGCTGATATCGATACATAAAGTCAAAATGTATCATGGTCATGGAGTTTGTGACTTGCTATTGTACAAGAACATGTATCTAAACCAGTCTTACCTAAGGTGTTTTTTCCATCCACTATGCAGCAGAAATGAGTATTCAAGAGAAAGTCATAAAAGCAGGAGGCTTTATCACAATGATATAATATTAATTACTAAAAAAAACAGCCATTTCTGCATTGTTAGGATGACTTTCCCTTCATCCAAGAACACAGTCATTACATTGGTGTGGCTGTTAGAGGTCTTTACAGAGAAATCAACACATCCATTAATATCAATTTTGTTAATCTGCTATTTGCATGATGTCACATATTCTCTACCAAAATTTCTACATTCACTTAGGAATTCATCAAACACTTTGCTTGAGTCCACATCCTATAATTTATCTCAAACTTAAACCTCAATATTTGTCACTGTACAACTTGGAAAAAGGAACAAATAAGCTCCATGCGGGAACAAAGCAAAGTTCCACCAAGGGTAAGGTGTTTCTATGGTAGCTGTAGCTGATAGCCTTGGCCTGGATGGGTGTCCCTTACAAGGTTGTTAAGACAGCCACTGATGTTGTAGACATGTGCGACTTGGGAACAAAAGATGCAGGAGCCATGCTACATTGAAGACATCACTTACTGTATACTCTCTCCAGGACTAGACTGTGCATGCAATGATCTGATCTCCACTGATCAGTTCTGTCGATCCTTTACATTTTCTATCTACCTAATAATATACATGTATATTAATTTATATCTATAGGGTTATTGCAGGTACAACAAGTTTCACATTTACTCACATTTTTTCCTCTGTAGCACTGCCATTAAATCTTCCTCCGACACTTTCCTGGTGGACCTATGATAGAGTTCAGTTAACAAAATCTCTCTTATGGAAAACACTTATAAGATGTTTCACGAAAAATGTATCACAACACAACAGGTTTCGTCAATGACTTGGAAAAAATTATGGCTGGATGGTTGGATATCTCCCCCTAAAAAGTGGCTGTCGCCTGAGAAGAAATGAAAACTTTAAAGAAAGAGCAGCCTAAAATGTAGCAATTTAATTATGACTGTAGTTTGGTGGCTGTTGAAGCCAGATAGCCAGGCCATCTGAAAGATCAAGTCCATATGCTCCTGTCACTGTTCTTGTACGTCATGGGACGTGGTTCATACCTGTCGCCAAGTTCTGTAACCTCCGTTACCGCTTAAGTAAGACGGTCGCACAGTTTAGATAGAGCCAAATATAAGACAAGAAAGTTCCATTTTCATAACTTGTTGCATGTTTTCTGGGTTTCTAAGAGAAGAAGGAGTGTTTGCTGTCTTTGGTGTCTAGCCACCTTCACTGAACAAAATGTTTTACAGTAATGAATGTAACCTCCGTTACCGTTCTTTATTACTTTCAATGTTAGTTACTTCACCTGGTATTTAAAAAGGCGTCCAGATTTTAAATGTCTGTGCTTATGCCCCCTTTCTCCTACAGGATGAAGTAAAAAACTGCAGATTTTTTTTGAGAAAAAAAAACCCTCAGTACTTGTCTAACCTTTAGATGTGGGGAGCTGACCAGACTGTGGCAGGTGGTAAAGACATCATAATTATACTACAAGTGACGATTATCATTAATGGCAACTACGCACATGGCATTAAGTGACCAAATTCTCATATTCAACATTATACTTCACACTTATATTATCTGAATTTGATATATGGAAGAAGAACAAAACTAGGATGTCATGGAAGACTCACGTGCCACTATCCTGTCCCAGGTCCTCATCATCATCTGGGTCAATCTTGGTAATTTCCAAAAAGCGATGATGAAAGAAGTGCAGTTGGAGAATACAGACCACCAGAAACGTTGTGGGAGCCAACATCTTCTGAAACAGCTCCACAGTGCTATACTGCTCCATCCCCAAATCCTCAAGACTGGACAATACATAATACAATATTATTGTACAAATCACTTCTTAATCAGCATGAAAGTTTATCTCTGTTGTAGTTTACGTTACATACAAGCAAGTACAACCTGAGCTAAAACTTAGTTCTAGCACAGATTACCTACATGTAGGTAAACAAACATGATGAATTAGTCTCCTATTTAAACTGCGCAATCATTGGATCATCCTTGATGATTTATGGGGCAGTGCCGAAGTCGCGCGGCAGGCCGTGTCCCAGTATGTCACTCCTTTCTTCTCAGGTTGAAAGGGTGGGTGGGTGTGGGAAAGAACAGGAGCCCTCCCTGCCTGTGGAAGCGAGTACAATAATTTCCTTTTGTGCTCCTTTTCCCCTACCCCTAGATACGTGTGTACACGGACCGACCTGCATCGCGCTCCTTGGCGTTACGGATGAATCCACTGAATGCGCCACGGGGGTGCATCACCCCGCCTTATATGGAGTTGTGGATAACGTCATCAAGGCTCATCCAATGAGAGCGCAGTATGAATAGCAGATGATATTGTTTCGATAAATTATGTCAATTAGACACTGTGAACAGGACCACATGTACTTCCTGAACGTCACAGATGTACATTTGTACATCAGAGTACATCACCCTTCATGCAACACAGACTGCAGGTGGTACACGATGACTGTATACATGTAAACTTCCTGACTGACATCACAGGTCCACAAGCACACATGACCTGGGTTATTGAATGTGGTAACCAATTTGAAAGCAAGACCCTGTTCACAATGAAAAAAATGGATCGGGATTGACCGACGATCAGGATCGAAATTATGGAAATGAAGTCAATCAAGATAGGTTTTCGCAGTGTGAACGCTCGAATTGGGATTGATTTTCTACGATCTTGATCCAAAAGTAATCCACCTCGAGGAGGTACAAATGTAGTTCAAGACACTTGCAGCGATCGGGGTCGAGCTTAAACGCGAGTGTGAAAGCAAAGACAATGTACCACAAATACCACAACCAATCGGGTCTTATAATATGCAGTGACAAGGACCTTGTGTAATGCTATGGATACATTGCCAATCAAATATGAATAGAAAATATGCAGATACTTGTTACCCCAACCTCCAAGCCCCAACAGTACACTCAAGTGGAATGGCGATCCAGTTGAATCGAATGTTAAAACCAGCAAAATGTCGGCCTTCACGTAACGGGCTCTAAACCCTGGCCACCCAAACATGTTCAAAGAGGTGCATGTGCTCCTTATTTCCGCTAAGATTTCAGGCTGTACAAACTTTCAATCTGAGTTCTTTTCTGTGGCAAAATTTACGGCGGAGTTGCAGCGGCTCCGGTGCATTCAAGATGGCAGGCTCTAATCACGTGACACCTCAATCCATTTCTAAACACCATGCGCAATGCAATCCCGATCGGCAAAAAGCACTGTGAACGCGCAGGTCGATCGAGATTGATGAATTTCTGATGAGGATCCGGGCGGTCAATCCAGATCCATTTTTTTAATGTAAACGGGGTCTAATAATGCTGTAAAATTTAATGAGCTTGCCTCATTTTGGGTGAATTATAAAAATGTATAATTATTAAAATATATTTGTCTTATTCACTACCAACTAAATGATTCCTATTACATTTTGTACTGTCTTGTATCTTGAACAGTCTACAGACTGGAAGAACACCAGAGGAAGAATGAAATACTTACAGTTCAAATGAGATGTGTGTCTTGTTGTGCCAGAACTGTGGCACACTCTTGAACTGATAGGTGTAGAGTAGGATAAGCACAAACATGGAGTATCCTATCACCACCCACCAGAAAGTTCGCATTATGCGTCTCCAAGTTGTGTATGACAGCTGTAACAAAGGAGAGATACCAACGTGAAACAGTCATTATTAAGAAGTTCTTTTAAAGTTACCATATGATTATAGTGAAAACAAGTAATCCTGATGTGTGTGTGGGGGGGGATTTTTAAAGTCTCTTGCAAGGTTTTTTTGGTAACTTGGGGGGCAAAACGTTAATGATCTTGACAGTTTTGTACAAAATGTACATTATATACATATAGGTCACAGGCTCTTAGGCCATGTTGATTGGAGTATATGGATGACATCCTCTGGGAACCCGAAAACTGACGCGAGCGTACGAATAAAATTGTTTCGCGAAAAAAAAGTTTCCTTCATGAAATCTACCTGGTGATAAAGGTTGAACAAATGACTAAACACACAGAGTATGGTATGGGCGAATAATAATAGACTCTTCATTTTTGTTTCTTCACATTTTCTTCTTTTCCTGACTTGATTTCAGCATTCTATGACATAAGTATTGTTTTTCAACACTTTTTGTATTAAAATTTTGTACAATATACAACATATATTTGCTCATTTTGTACAATTTACAGTATTTTTTGAAAATGGAAAAAAATTCATGCGCGCGGATGTCATCCATATACTCAAATCAACATGGACTTAATGATTCTACACAATTCCAGCATTTCGTTTGTTGTTATAATTACCTCGTGTCCATAAGGTTAGTAGCAAAGTTTGATATGGAAGATTCTGTGGGGGGGGGGGGCAAATGTCATGCCTGTCTAATTATATCAGTTGTTATGATAGCACCTCAGGTTGGAAACCATTACAGTGTGTCTGTCATGTTATTTGTTGGTCTGTTTTTCTTCAAGAAGACCCCTTGGTCATTTTTCTTCAAGAAGACCCCTTGGTCATTTTTCTTCAAGAAGACCCCTTGGTCTGTTTTTCGTCAAGAAGACCCCTTGGTCTGTTTTTCTTCAAGAAGACCCCTTGGTCTGTTTTTCTTCAAGAAGACCCCTTGGTCTGTTTTTCTTCAAGAAGACCCCTTGGTCTGTTTTTCTTCAAGAAGACCCCTTGCCCAGCACATACTTAGATTGGATTTTTATTGGTCCCAAGTGGTATTCTTGCCAGGTTTGATAACTTGAAGACAAGATCAATAGCTTGCAGTTTGTACAAGGTCTATACATGTGTGCAACAGTGGCATGCACCTTATGGTTTTAATCTCTACCACGTGTAACATAATACAATTTGTCATTAATCACTATCATGATAAAATGAAGCATACCTGATAGCAGATAATGAAGAATAGGAAGAGTGCCATGTAGAGGATTCGGTACATCACCACCTTGCCAGACAGGCTGACAAGGAGAAACATGCCGGCACACACAAAGATCCAGTACTTGCTGAACACCTGCACCGCGTAGTTGCCCATCTGTTTCATGAGCTCACTATCTTCCCTTTCCTGGTTCTCACTGGATGTTCTACTGCCCATTTTTTCTAATGATGAAAAATGGACATCTTAAATATCAGGAAAAATAAACTTTTGTCTTACTGACTACTGAACTTAAGTAAATTTAAGTAAAATGAAGATGAGATCAGAGGTCCAAGGTTATTTCTATCCAATTACATGTAACATGACATACACAAGAAAGATGGCAGATGCCACCTGAAAGCTTCTCTGAGCTGGAATTTTGCCGTGAGTACTAGTTTCACTCCTTCTTTCAATGACATACACGTTACGGACACTCTTACCTAATACTTGCTCTCACTGACATTCACTAAATTCACTGACATTCTCACCCATTCAATTTTGCTCAAATACTTATATTTCAGTCCATACCATGGTATTGATGAAATATATATTCAGTCCATACCATACGCATGGACGAAATATTGTTATATTACCATACGTAAGGATGAAATATGATATTGTTTTCCCTTGTGTTTCTTTTCCTTCTCCTCCTTCTCCTGCCATTTTGTTAAATGGATTCAGTTTCTTCATTTTGGGAAAAATAACCTGAAATTTGGCATTTCGTCATTTTTCACAAAGGACGTGTTGTTCTAAACAAGGTTTTAAACTTTTTAGAACTGTTCTAAAGGACTCCTCCCTGGCCGAAACAATCTTCTCTACTCTACATAAGCTAATACTCTTCGACCTGCCTGACTTTAGCAAGGTCTAGCAGTTGAGATCCGGATCTGATTTTGGACAGGATATACTAATAGTAGGGGTCTAGCTAGCGCGAAGTAGCGTAGGGGCCCCCCACCACTATAATTTTGACTTCCTACGCTACATTTCCCCCCCATGCTCATTTCCAATACAGCATAGGGGCATTGTGACTGTATTTCTTTGTTCAAGAATGCCAGATCAAATGTGAAAAATTACCAATCAAGGATAGATTGTACAGACCTTAGGGTATCTCTTTGGGTATCCCTCAAATGGCCTATTTTTTAGCTCAATTTTTTAAAAGCTCTGCACTCCCCTTCCGCCCCATCCCCCTCTTGGTCACTTCGCTCCCTCGACATGCGGCCAGTTACACCAGTACCACTACGCTAAAATGAAATCCTAGCTAGAACCCTGTATAGGCAGATCGGGATTCAACTAACCCTGGTATGAATGACAAATGGATATATCCGGATCTACCCCAAATCTGGATATATCCAAATATGCGAAGCCTTGTATGAACGGGGTGTTACTCTACCACAGTCACTTCCACTCAATCACTCACACTTACTCCCTCACTCTTGCCAGCATGGCAGTCTGGCAAACAGGTTACACAATGTACTAACAGGACATCATTTTGTAAACTGCCAATGCTCAAGGAAACATACCAGGTCCTTCACTCTCTTGTTTGAATATGGCTGTTAGTGCATCCTCTTCCCCTAAGCCATCTTCTTCAACTATCTTCTTTTCCCAGATGTGTTGGCGCAGTGTCAACCAGAACATCAGGGTGTACAAAATCTGGGAAAATTGGGAAACTGTGAGTTCATCAGATTTTTTCAGAGAAAATACAGTGCCTAACTAGTGGGTTATCTTGATAGAATTGACCAATTTGCCATCAACTTCAAGAACATGATATTCTGTTTGCAATGAAAAATGGCACCAGCTGGGTCAATCGGGCAGTTTATCATAAAATGGGTATAAACTTTGTTCCATTTTTCTTGTTCCCTGTCTTGTCATGTTGCCATGCTTTTTGTATAAGAAGGTCACTTGTCTATGAAGGCCATTTTTCCTTGGTCCACTAGGTGGTCATCTTAGACAATTGTGACTGTGTATTTCAATCCTTGGGTTTTCAGGTACACTGTACATGTAGTTGCATAAAAGCACCCACTAAAACCTAACTACAGAATGTACAATGTCATGTACATGCATGTACCACACACTATGCAATAGCGTAAACAAAACAAAACAATTCGCCAAAAAGCAGTTACTCATTGACAAGCAACTGGATATGATTTTGGAAACGGTCAGACGTTTCAGCTAGTATCCACTAGCTTTCGTCAGTGACTGAGAGACCAGAGGAGAAATGCAGGTTTATAAGCAATAACTATTGATTGATATACACAAAATAAAACAATACTTCACTTTTGCTGTAAGGTGCAGGCAGGTATGCTGATACTTGATTAGTCCAATTTCCTCCAAGTTATAACCAGAACTGCTTTTGGTTGGCAGCTCCTCCTCGTTTAGGTTCAAGCCATAGACAAACTGGATAACCAGCAGGACTTCTGCATAGATGACAAAAGCTGGAGAGGACAGCAGGCATATCCTCCGGGCACTGCGACACATCCACACCACACATGCCCAGATCAGCAGCACAAAGGTCAGCCAGCTGTGGTAGGTAATACTCCAGGCCTGGACAGGACAGACACATTTTACATTCACATCAACTGTAAGCAGACAACAGAAGATAACCATCATGAAAGTTCATCTGTGTTGGTAGCTACATGTTTAAAGTTAAAACTTTTGGTCCAACACAGAAAATAACCACATGCTACACATCACACAGATTCAACCATGTTTTAAAATTCTTTGGAGGCTCTCTAATTAATCAATCTATTGACATGAAAAAAATGGATGAAAAAATAAGATACTTGTAAGATGCTCATTATGAATTATTTTAAAGGAGACATTTCATCTGCATATGTGTAACCCTGACTAAAAATAGTAATTATCAATGAAAATGTCTCTCCTGAAGTCATTCATCTGAATGTCATTCATTTCCAATGGACACGTGATAAATTTACAAAATTCATCATCTTCAACTATATGACAAAAATTCAATTATAATTGATTCATAATTCTGGAGTGACTGACTTTGACACAGGCCACTTGCTGAGCTAAAAAGACATCATCAAGTACAAGTAAGTAAGTGAGGTCGTGTGGCGTAGCGGCAGAGTGCGGGACTCGGAACTGAGAGTCTTGGGTTTGAGTCCTGACATGCCACCGATCTTGTGCCCTTGGGAAAGGCACTTTACACAACTTTCCTCACTTAGCTCAGGTGTAAAGGAGTATTGTCCTGTCATGTATTTGTCCCGTGTTGGTGGCGGCATTAATATAAGTTGAAAAACTTGAGTGTGTCGTCACCACGTCCGGTGATTACATGTTGGAATAAAAAAAAAGTAAGTACTATACAAGTACAAGTACAGCTACTACAGTAACTGTTATAATTGGTCTTACCATCATAACAATGAGTGCTGCGATGTAGCTCTGTTTCATGATGAAGACAAACATTGTCATCAAAGGTGTCCTGAAGGAGTCCAGGTCTTTACTGTGAGTAGCCATGTCTTCCTTCTGTTCCAGCTGGAATGTTTCCTCCTTCCTCCGGCGGTGAATCTCCTCGTGGATGGTTCCCACCTTGTTCTCTGGTATATCATCGGGATCTGTCTCCTGGGTGATCAGTCCGTCTACCTCTATCTCAACATCATCAGACTCTCCATAGTCTTCTGGAACTACCAGGGCCTGAAAAAACAGTACTGTGTTAGGCCACACCAATTTAACTTGTTGGTTCTGAACCAAGAGATAAACAGACCTGTCCCTGGTGCTGAACACTATCCACACACAGATAAACATATCTGTCCCTGGTGCTGAACACCATCCACCAAGAGATAAACATGCCTGTCCCTGGTGCTGAACACCACCCACCAAGAGATAAACATGCCTGTCCCTGGTGTTGAACACCACCCACCAAGAGATAAACATGCCTGTCCCTGGTGCTGAACACCAGCCACACACAGATAAACATACCTGTCCCTGGTGCTGAACACTATCCACACACAGATAAACATGCCTGTTCCTGGTGCTGAGCACTATCCACAAACAGATAAACATACCTGTACCTGGTGTTGAACACCACCCACCAAGAGATAAACATGCCTGTCCCTGGTGCTGAACACTATCCACACACAGATAAACATACCTGTCCCTGGTGCTGAACACTATCCACACACAGATAAACATGCCTGTCCCTGGTGCTTAACACTATCCACACACAGATAAACATGCCTGTCCCTGGTGCTGAACACCATCCACACACAGATAAACATACCTGTCCCTGGTGCTGAACACTATCCACACACAGATAAACATGCCTGTCCCTGGTGCTGAACACTATCCACACACGGATAAACATACCTGTCCCTGGTGCTGAACACTATCCACACACAGATAAGCATACCTGTCCCTGCTGCTGAACACTATCCACACACAGATAAACATACCTGTCCCTGGTGCTGAACACTATCCACACACATATAAACATGCCTGTCCCTGGTGTTGAACACTATCCACACACAGATAAACATGCCTGTCCCTGGTGCTGAACACTATCCACACACAGATAAACATACCTGTCCTGGTACCACATCACAAGGTCAGACACAAAATTTCTCGTACCAAGATGGTTGTATTATTTTGTTATTGTTCTAAACGTTAATTAAGACACCAGATTTTCCTATATTTAAAAATAAAGTGATTGATTAAAAACACTACCTATTTGTGCTACTGTTATTTTGATGCATTGAAAACAAACATGCACTGCACCGTCTGTCTGTGGAAATCTTAGTCAACTTGGTTCAAATAACCGTGGGATATCCCAATAAATCTCATGGGATATCCAAAAGAAATCCTGCGTGACATCTGGAAAAATCCTGCGAGATATCCCAATAAATATATCCCGCAGGATTTGATGCTTTTCCATGATCTGCACTGTACACTCAAGTAAATGTACATGTATTGGCCAGTAAAAATCCTTTTCCCACTAGGATAAAATTGTCCTTATCGAGCCAAATAAATTTAGCACAGTGCGAATGCTCCCAGTCCAGCAAAACTTGGCTAGGTCCTGCTCTTTCGTACCCTGATCGAGCAGGATCAAATCAGCGAGTCTTCTGTACGGGCACTTTTAAGAGGCTCTAGGAACCATAGCAAGTAGATACGTTGATGAAGGTTAGACATCCAGGTAAACGATACTCGTAAGAAAATTTAAACTCTACTACTGGATCAGTTACGGATTTTTATTTATTTCCGGACGTTTCGAGTGACATCCATCACTCTTCTTCAGCGTCACAAATGAACAGAGAACCGATTCACTCTTATATACAAGTATATAAGAGTGAATCGGTAAGACACCTCACGAACAATGGAAAACTGATCCAGTAGTAGAGTTTAAATTTTCTTTCGAGCATAGCAAGTAGACTACATCCTAGGTCTGAACCACCAGCAGAAAAAGGGTTTAACAATATTGAAAGAGATAATTTCGTGGAGTGATATCAATTTTCTTAGTTAATACCAAATTGAACAGTATCAGTTGTGCAACAGAATTCCTGATGGAATCGATGAAAATGATATCCTTTTCCTTATTAGGCCACAGCAAGTAAATTTCATGGATAACATCCTCCGCAGACTTCAAATCTAATGTAAGCGGGCGAAAAAAAAAAACAAGGCTGGCCGAAAAAACAAGATTCCTACAATTTAAAATTTTGACTCATCATTTGAATCATAATTGTACAAATGGTTTTGATTCAGTGGAAACATCACAAACATGTATACACAGCCAACATCACAGCATCAAAGTAAGAAACAAAACATTAAATCAGAGCCTTGTCTTGTCTCCTCTCTTCATAGTTATCTGCCATCCACCTTCTGGCATGGCAACAGACATCTTTGCCCATTTTCGGCATGTTAACTACTGTCAGAAGGCAACAAAATTTCTTGTTTTTTCCAAAATCAGGCAAAAATTAATATGCGCATCCATAAAAATTACTTGCTGTGGCCTTATTATGAGAGGTCGAGTGAAACTTGACATCATTATCAGTAGCTTGTTGAGTTAAATGAAATTGACACACTCACCACCCTTTCATCATCAGATTTCATGGCAGATGCACGTCTGACTGTGTTCCCAGCTGTTCTCTTGGACAGAGTCCTCCGGAGCCATGTCTGGGGAGTCCCTGTGTCCTCGACTGTCTCCTTCCACTGTCAGGAAACAAACCACTTCATTTTACATGGATCAAGTCATAATGGCAGATTATAATGATTTATTGATAGAATTATATATTACATTATATACATAATGAGCATACAGCAGACTTAGTTACAATGTACATGGATCACATCTAGACAAAGTCTACTTTGTTTGTTTGTTTGTTTAGGATCTCAATTAGTGTGAATTTCGCGCTACTCTTCCTGGAGTCTGTAGTGAATAATCAGATAATTAAGTATTTGGACCATCGCACTTTTTTGAAAGGTGTGGTGGGATCTTGAATGTGTGGAGTGTGGCACTCCCCAAACACGGGACCTCCATTTAACGTCCTATCCAAGGGACGTCTCTAACTGAAGCTAGGTACTATTTACACCTGAGTGAAGTGAGGAAAGTCGTGTAAAGTGCCTTTCCCAAGGGCACAAGATCGGTGACATGGGCAGGATTCGGACCCGTGACCTCTTGGGTGTGAGCCGAATGCGCTACTGACTGCGCCGCACGACCCAACTCTGATCACTTTCCCCAAGACTGTATAACACCGAATTACAATGTTTTACCATGATGCTATTAGCATATACATGTACACATAATGCATTTGTGTCAAATGTACCATTCATGTTTTATTGAGCATCGCACCATCAGCAAATTATCCTTCAGACTTTTGGCTCGTTTTCATTCAAATGTGCAAAATGCTGTCGGCACTCTTTATGACTAGATATGAGCCAAATCACAGACCCCATCATTGCTTTCTTCTCTTTCTCACTTACAATGTACAATGTATACTATGTTTCATGACAAGGTTTATTTGATGACTTGGAAGAAATTATAGCCACGGGTTTGGAGAGTTCTGTAACCTCCATTACCGCAGATTTCTGTAACGTCCGTTACCTCTCAAATAAGATGGTTGTGAAGTTTAGATATATGTGCATATACATGAAGACAAGAAATTGTCGTTTTAATGACATTTTGCATGTTTTCTGGGTTTCTATGGGAAGAAGAAAGGAGTTTTCACCGTTATTTGTAACCTTTATCAGAATAGTTTTTAAAAATTACCAATCACTTCATAACATAAACTTGTAAGAGTTACGGTTACAGACATGTGACCTTATTCACACAAGACTTTACGGATATGTGACGTAAGCAATTGATCAAACTACCATAGCCAGGGAGTTTACAATTATATCATCCGCCATCTCTATTAAGTGACTGGTCATTAATTCTCCTGATGAAGGCTATGGTGGTCATTGAAAATTTGATCTTTGTGTACTCCTTAACTTGGAATAAAGTTTAACATCATATTCTGTCTAGGTGTCTAGTTGTTTTTCATTGTCAGGTAGGAAAATCACATATTAGGCCACACCAATTTAATTTGTTGGTTAACGGATTTTTCTAGAAAAATAATGGAGCGGGCGGGCGAAAAAATAAAAGCAGGCCTAGGCATCCTATTATGGCCCAAAATGGTACGATAGGAGCCATGAAGTCAACACACCAGCATGGTTCAAAATTTAAACAATGAATTTTGAACTTTTAAATTAAATGATACCACTGCATTGAAAGATGGAATAACAACTGGGATGAAAAGGAATGTTTTCAGCTGTTCGGGGCAAAATATGAGCATTTTGCAGTTGATTCTGAATTTTTATTTTTATTTCCAAATCAGGAAAAATGAAGCGGGCGAATCCTTTAACCAAGAAATTAAATTGGTGTGGCCTTAGTCTATTATTTTGAAGGACATAATGTAGACTGTACTAACTTTGCTGGCTTGACGTATCTCGGTCACACAGACCCAGTACAGAGCCAGGATGAAGGCAGGAGACAGAATGACAGGCCAGTCCACATCAGAGTGCAGCTTCAGGTGCAGGGGGTCATCACAGTTGTAGTGTATAATCCCAGTCAAACCCAGAAACCTGCAAACCATACCAAAAATATATCATATTTTGTCAGTTACTTTATTCTGGCATAACTTGAGATGTTCCCTAAATGGACACTTTTTACTGAATCAGACAATATAACGGTTATATGTATTACACTGTATTTTATTCTCACCAAATCAAGTTTGGTAGGTTGGCCATGTTGATCTCCATGTCATTCATGAAACCAATCGTTGAAAGAGTGAGTGGAATGGGTCAGATTGATGTTTGTTGCTGAACTATACACAATAATGTTCAATTTTTTTAGTGTTTCCTGATAAATACTCCGAGGATTCATAAACGCTCTGGTGATTTTAAATGTGGCAAACTTCTGGTGATCAACAAATTTAAAGTGGTTGATAATGTGAGGGCTGTCCATGCACTTGGCAGACACACATCACACACAGGCGGCCATGTCACACAACACATGTTGTAGGTCAGCACTTTAAAACCATGGGTGACATCCTTACAAACAGGACAGGCACCCTGGGTGCTGTATGCTGGCAGTAGGCACTGAGCTACGCTGTCCAAGTATAATATATAATATTTTCTAACATAACTGTGATTGGTACTGTGTAACAGTACATTTGTAACAATCACAGTAACTGTGTAATACATGAAAAGGAGATTTACATGTAACAGAGAGATATTGAAGTTAAGATGTATATAAGCTTGATAAGTACATGGAAATTCATTGATATACTGGCATGGCAGTGTCTTTTTTTATTTTTTATTTTTTTCACTAGCATAGGGTAGGATAAAATTGAAGGGAACATTTGGCAAAACTATCATGCAGGTATTACAGGTTGCAATGTTTACTGTAACAGTAGACCACAAATGGTTCAGGAACAGTTACACTAGAAATGCATCTCTTACTCCAATTTTAATATCAATGTGTCCAAATTTCATTTATCAAAACCTGCCCATACTCTGGCAACTAGCGATGGAGCACCATGTCAGTTTGAGCCCCTGATGAAAAAGTGTCTTAAGTTATAATAAAGGCATCTCCTGTTTAGGCATGAAGTCTGTGGCAACTTCTGGGGTGGGTGGGCAGGTTATTTAATGTGCTCCAAATGTTGCATACAGGACCTAACATACTTGGGAACTGGTTGCTTAACATAAATGTGAGACTTCATAAATTCATACCGGTACTAATCATATTTCAGTTTTTGACTGGAGTGGCAGTCTTCTACAATCATTATTTGTGCATTCTGGAAACTTTCAATGAATTGTCTTCAGGTTTATTTCAGTAGTTTGTCCTGGAATAATATTAAAACAAAACTTTAACAAAAAATTGAGACATATCAATCCCTTATGACATCACACATGATAATCAGCACGTCGGCAGAACGCACTGCACCTGCGCGAAACCCGTAATGTATTGTACACAGCACTTTGAAAGAACATTTCATATAAGGTTGTATTCGCGCATATAAGGAAAACATCTCGTCTGTAGTTTCCAAATGTTATGTAGGAAAAAGATATCCTCTGCAACAGAAAAAATTCTAAATGCAACGTTGACCAAAATCCACCAAAAACTGTGAAAATACAGGGTTCTGCGCAGGCACAGTATGTTCTGCCGACGCGCTATGATAATCATATATCACAGTCCCCTCCGATCCAAACAAAGATGGAATATGACTGACTAGTGTACAATTGTGTTATCTAATACAGTTACATTGTACCTTGCGGTGAAGCTGGTTGGATCCAGTTCAGACTGCATGAACTGGAACTGGTACAGGTAGAGCAGCAGGAGGTGTGTCCCGCTGTAACCAACCAGGGCCGCCCGCAAGTATTCAAACCACTGCCCAATCACACGATAGCACGACCACCATGTCGCTAGTCCCAGGAAGATAGTGAAGTACATGAGGCTGATGAAGGAGGGGTGGGTGATCCCTGCAGCAGCTGTCAGGATGATCACGATGGGTTTCTCCACATACATCAGGAGGCTGAAGTTCAGCTTGGGGGGGCGAAATTTGCTATAGAAGTCGTTAGAGTGCAGATCGGACTGGCTCCGCGGGAGCTGCTGGATCTGATCTCGTTCTAAATTACGACTGTACAGGAAGAACATGGCGAGGAAGGAGGCCACAGCAATGTCTGGAAAAATCAACCTGACGATATTTGGGAATGGTGTCTGGTCAAACCTGCAGAACAAGAAGAACACAACTTTGTGAAACTAATAAGGCCACAGCAAGTACTTTTTATGGATGACATCAGGCCCACATTAATTTCTGAAATTTTTTTGTCACCTGACAGTGAAGAGAGGAGACAAGACAAGGCTCTGATTTAATTGTTGTGCAATAAAGTTCTTCTTTATTGTTCTGTCTTTTTTCAGTTTGATGCAGTGAATCTGATATATTTCATTCCTCTTAGAGTTGGAGTCTATGGAGGATGTCATCTCTAAAATTTACTCACTGTGGCCTAAAGACTGTCACATAGAGAAATCAATGGCCTCCTGACCATCCCACCCGTCCCATCTACTGTACTTCATTCTGTAACATTGCAGCAAGCATTTGTACAATGTACAATATAACTGTCAGTGACAGTTTCTGCCGTACACCGTTACAAGATAGACTATGCAAATTCTGTAATTCTTGTATTGAAGATGAATCGCATTTTATGCTTGACTGTAAATTATATGATAACGAACGTAAATCACTGTTCAGTTCAATTAAGCTCGACAAAAAATGTAAAACATTATCAAAGGAAGACACTTTTAAATATATCATATCATGTACAAATATAGACGTCATCAATGAAGTATGTAAGTATATTTCAAAATGTTTCAAAAAGAGAGAAGAAGCCATTAGAACTTAGATCTATACCACTTTATATATATATTTCTTTTTTAGCATTGTATACCTTAGACCTGATGTTAGCCTTTCTTTATTACTATAATAATGTAGTTATAGATAGTACATTGTACTTTGTACATCCGTGCATTTATCCCCCCGGGGAATGCAATATAGCTTCATTGTTCTCCTCATTTACCAGTTATGTCTATTCTTAGACTCAAGACTGATTTTATCTCATGGTCACACAGTCAGGGCTCAAAATACTCTTTTCTGCATGAATGCATTGGTGAGGGTAACATTCAAAACAAGAGGTTGATGACTTCATACCTTCATCATGTATGAGTTTGGATTGTTAGAAGCGTGCTGCTGTATATAGTTTAACTTTTATTTTGCTGGTACGTGAACTAAAGGATGTATGATTCATAAGTTGTAGTACACAAACACAGGTTACACGAGTTTGGAAATTTTGCAACATAATCATGACTCTTGTCATTGTCGTCACTACTGGGTGTATCTTTTTGGGTGCTGTGGAGTTTTCATGTTGGTGATTTCATTGACTCAATGCACGCTACTGGAAAGAGTCAAAGTCCTCGGGGGGACGTTAAACCGTGGTCTACTCCTTAGGGGGACGTTAAGCCGTGGTCTACTGTTTATGCTCGCATTGGGAATATGTCTCTCGACAGAGGTCAACAACCTTATTGACATCTGTCCACATCCCCCTCATTTATGTGCATGTCTATTTTGAGCCCTGTACAGTTTGACTTATTTTTTCCTGAAATGTAAAAAAAACTTTTGTGCTTAAATTCTGTGCTATGCTTTGGCCCACCTTTGGAATCCCAGCTGTCTTGCCACTTTCTCTCCACTGTCACCTGTTTAAGAAAACAAGAAACTGAATTAACTGTCATGACAGCACTGTATAATCCAGGTCTAACTATGCTATGCATAATGTACACAGTACTAGTCAGGAATAGTCTGATTCCAAATTCTAAATTGCATCAGACTGCAACATTTTAGGCTGTGAGTTTCAGACATTGGTTAACCTCAAGCATTTTACAACTATCATTCTACATGTAGTAACTTGTTGGCCATCAAAGGATGATACAATGTACACTATCTGTCATGTACATGTGTCATGTAAGTGGAGTTCTATAGTTTATATCCTCCCTTCAAATCTACAGATAGGCTTTATGATAAGCTTAGGGCTATCTTTCACTTCCTTCATCATCCTAATCCCAAGGTTATTAATTAATGTCCTTTTTAATCATATCAAAGAGAAGTTCCCATACTTTGAACACCTAAATGCAAACGATAAATTTACATTTTTGATGCGTCTAGACAAACCCTGTATCACAAACATGATCTGTTCCCACATTTTCCACTGTACAAAAAAGTAAGAAGTTGACCACTCTGTACTAGCTCAGTAACAAGAACACTTAATGTATTAGCCTAGTATAGTATCCTTGTATGTTCCTTACATGTACATGTATGTACTATGTACAATGTATATCTAAGTAGTGCATCCCTCCACTTTTCTACATACATGTACGTTTGTTATGTGTTTGTTATTTCTTGACCTGTACCTAGCCCGTCGTGGCATGAATGTATACAATAAAGGTATTTCATTTCATTTCAATCTTCACGTTCCTTGTTGTGGTGGGACCAGAATAAACGTTTAGAAGCATAACTGTGCTTTTATACACAATCACGAAGTTGATGGCAGAAGAGACACCAATTGAATTCCATGGTTCTCAGATCTTTGCAGGATCAATAGAGAGACTGGGGGAAATAAAATAAACTAGAAATTGTTGGTAACGTTGATAATGTCCGTAAGATTTTTTTTAACACCACCTAGCTATTAAATCACCCTTCTGGCGAAACAAAGGTGTGCAGCGAGTGGGTAATGCCGTGCACTGTCTTCTTGATACATGTATAACGTCCTTGTTAGGACTGACTGGTACAAAAACTCTCTATAATTGTGAGAACAACGAAAAGACTTACAAAACGCAGAATAAGCCTTTTGAATGTGCATAATTGTTTTGTGAAAATCTTTGCCACTGTTGAATCCATTTTATGGAACTTAACATTGGGCCATTACTTCATGCAAGCGTTCTAAAAAAAGGTTGATCAATGCCAGTTGCTACACAAGGATGTTTGAAATATGCCTCAACATCTCCTTGGAATAAACTTATTAATGACCAGTTGTACCAGGATCTGCCATATCATCACTAAATACATGTATAACAAAAGTTACATGTACATGTAGTTGAAAATAAAGTTGTGCAGAATGAGACTTCTTACTGTATCAGGCATCTTGAAACAATCTAAGTTAGTCAAAGGAACGGAAAGTAAGATTCTTGGATAATCTAAGAGCTAAAAGTGAGAGAGATCTGATGGATGACAGAGTGCAATAGGAAATGCTTTCAAGTTTGGTTTGAGAGGGAGCTCAACCAAAGAAAGTTTGAAATAAGAAAAAAAATCCGAAAACCCAAAAATTTAATTGGTGGGGACTTCAAATCATAGTTACATGCCCGTAGCCAGGGGGAGTTCGCCCCCCCCCCCCCAAGGCCCAAAGGTCCACTTTTTGGTCCACTTTTTATCTAAAGGTTCAAGATTTTTCTTTAAAAGATGGACTGATTCGTGTCACCAGCGAGGCTGGAATCGTAGGAAAACTGCTCACTTTGTCATTGATTCTTGATAAAGACTGAATTAAAGTCGAAACCGGTCGAATTCCGTCTCGAGTATGTCATCTTCCCATCGCTACGAATTTTGTCATTGATAAAAGTTATCTGTGATTTTTTTCTTTGAAATCCCTTAAAAAAAAATGCAGGAAATGCCATTTCAGAAGGTTCATTTTTCAAAATTTTCCAGAGGAGCATGCCCCTTAGGAACCTCGCGCCTTTGGCGCTCGCTGGTCTCTCAAGCAGTGGGAAGAACCCCCCCATTCAAAATCCTGGATACAGGTCAGTACATGAGTTAGTAACATCATTACTGACATGCTTCTCCCAAAATGTGTCCATAGGGAGGAGTGGCCAGCAGAACGACCTGTGTGATGAGGTGACCAGCACAGAACAGCACACTGCAGCCCAACACAAACAGCAGATACCGACCAGTGTGTCCTGAAACGAAAATAACACTTTTAGTGTCCCTTACATGTATATGTCAAAGGTCAGAGCAAGCCATCCTGATGAAGTGTAGCGTTTTTTGACAGCTGAGCCTGTTATGTATGTTGCATTTTTGCCCAAGCAAACCCCTACATTATTTTGTAATTCTTAATACTAATTCTTAATGCAATGTGCAACATACTCTATAGCCCAACACTCAGTACTGTTTTTTCACTGACTGAGAAATAACCAATTATAATACAAAAATTTTTTTTTTTAATTTTCATTCAATTCAGAATCAGATTCAGGAAGTTTGTCAGACTAGGTTTTAATGACTTAAATCAAACAAAGTGTAAAATGGATGTACCATTAAATGCAAGTTAAAATGATTTCTGTTTTAGAAGTCTGAACAGACCCCACAAGCATACCGCTTCAAACTGCGTCGCTTTGATCCAAGCTCTCAGCCTTGATTAAAAAAAACACCAAAGGAATTCTTTCTCCGTCTTGCTTTTATCTAAAATGAGTCTCATAAGACGGAGAAATAATCCCTTTGGCACTTTCCATCATAACATGTATGCCATGTATTCCCCTCAAGGACTGAGAGCTCAGATCAAAGAGATGCCGTTTGAAAGCGGTATGATTAATTTCTGAGCGTTTCGGGAAGTTTCACTGGAAGTGTTAAATATTAATAAAGCTTGCTGGTAATCCAAAATTAGTGCACTTCCAACAGACAGCTAATGATTCTATACTGAGAAGTAGTTTTGAGATTTATCAATTTTTGGTGTATTTTTCCCTAATGAAAAATATGAAACAAAAAAATACAAACAACCTTTATTTCAAGGTTCACAATACAAAAAGTGTAAGTTGCATATCCTGGTATCCAGCCTTGTTAGCTTTAGTCCACTACCCAAGAGCGGATCTTGGGTAGCGGACGGACTAAAGCTAACAAGGCTGGATACCAGGCTATAAGTTGCATGCCCAAGGGGTATTATACAACACTTTTCGTCAAGTGTCTTGGACAAAGAAGAGTAATAATAATGATGAGTATTGAAAAATGTCTGTATATTATTAAGTAAAATGTGCAAGGATATTGAGCAACTGAGTTATATGTCTATTGAGATTCTTTATTAATGTTTCACCAACAACAACTTATTACAATGCTTTTGTAGCTGATGATAATTATAATGACAACACTTTTAGGGCTCCAGATACTTTTTTCCGAATACCTGCACTAGCGCAGTCTGTAGAGTAGCAAAGGAGTCCCACTCAAATATCAAACAAAATTTAATGTATCTTCAATATTGTAAATATTGGTTATGAATAAGGAAGTGAAATTCAAAGATAACAATGTTTTCCTTGACCTGCTGGTCTGGCCCAACAAAATGCTCCAATGTTTATTCTTACTTACAAAAATTGTAAAAATTCAGATGACATTATCGTGCTTTTGACTTCCAGAGAGTCAGCGAGTGCATCACACATCTGATTAATGATGGCGAGATTGACTAAAAATTTACATGTATGGTGATTTCCCTCTTTCTGTTGCACAAAGCTCAATCTTTATAACTTTAATTCTAAGCTTGTTGAAATGAGAAAGTGGAATTCCAAACTTAAAGCTGAGGGTGTTATCGTATATTTCTGTTAATAAATCATTGTATCTCATTGTTTTGGTAATGTTCTTTCATTTTTCACATGTTATACTTCTGTTCAGAAAAAAGCTATCAGGCCATATTGACAGATATAGATGACAATGTTGGGCACAATTTTCAAAGAGTCACATTTAATAAATTTTTCACTGTTTCCAAAAAAATGATTTTCTTCTATGATATCAAAATGTCTCCGATCTGCAAAATGCAGACTGCAGGTGGGCATTTCTGAGACCCAAGGACTCTCATTAATATGCATGTGGCTCAGACTTACGTATTTAATATAAATAATTGTAAAACATGAAAATGTATAATTCAAGCAAACGTGTGTGTGGACATTATATCCGGAACATAAACATCTAAGGCTCAGTGTGTGTTGCAGCAGAAGTCTGTGACCACGATGGTGCAAAACAAGGCACTGCTGTACTTCCTACTCCTGGTTTCCAATCAGCTACTACTCGTGTGGGCACCAGCTTTACGTTGCCCTAACAGCTGTCGCTCCATAACCCCATTTAGTGTCGTTTGTCGCTGTCCAGACAAAAACTGGGCAGGATCCCCCTGCAGCTGGATTGGGTACAGAGGAACGTACAGTTTCCCCGCATGTCTCGACGCCATACCAACCGGGTTTGTCAAAGCCACGCGATCCATCTTCATCAAGCATGTCCGTTCCTCTACCATTTCGGAGCGGTCTTTCCCTAACAGCCCAGAAGTTCAGTACCTTTGGATCCAGCAGTCCAACGTGTCCAGGATACAGCCAGGGGCTTTCCAAGGTCTGCCACTGCTGAAAACTCTTTCCCTCGGCGACAACCGTATCTCCAGTCTTGGTACGTTGACAAAAATGTGTATTTTGGGCTCCCGATATTTGATTTTGTTAGACATTTAGTGTTAATATGTTATATGAATCCTAAATGACATCACTTATATTTAATGTTTGATTTAGAAACAGCAAAATATAAAAAAAAAATTAAAAGTTTATTGCAAATTTGAGCCCGGAGGCTAATTGCAGATTACAAAACATATCAAAAGAACAATGAAATAGAGTATAAAATAACTATAAAGTCTACATGATAAAAGTAGCTGTCTAGAACTATAGATATTACTATGTCCAAAACTATGTCTGAAGGGTTTGACTTCTCTTCTGTAAACCATGAAAGACGTAATGTACCACCTTTTCCAAAATTTGTGGGTTTTGAGAAGTGAAAAGAAGAATGGTTTTTCTTGGTCTGTAAGTTTAGAGAAATTGGGATAAATTGTAGAAGTTTGAATAGTTAATTCATTTCGAGAGTTGTTATGGAATGAACAGTTTGAAATAAAATGTATTTTGTCTTCCACAGCCTTTACACTTAACTGTATATTTACAAGACAGTTCTTTCACATACAGGTAGTCTTCTATACCAGCCTCTCTCTATTTCCAGAGAATGGGCGCTAACTCTAATTTTGCTAATGGCTGAGCGTAGTTCAAAATCTACAATATCAAGATATCGTTCTATGTTGTACATGGTTTTACATTTTGCATAAAATCTTAACTTACCACTGTGACTATCACTATCAGTTGACAAAGTATGAAAAAATGTTTGTATATGCATATATGTAAGTCTCCTTCTCAGCATTTTCACAACATGTTCAGGATCACAATGTGAGTTATCAGAATGCCATGAAAAGGATCCATTGTGATCTAATATACCTTTAACACGTTGCAATAAAGTCCGTCTACGGGTATTTGTTGGAAGGCTTTGCTGTAAGAGGAGTGCATCCCTTTGAAGGGGGTGTGAGGTTGTATCCATTTGTACTAGTCGTAACCAAAATTTAACTACAATGTATATATATACAAATATCTATATCTAAAGGAAATCTACCTAGTTCTGCTCTACAGGCGACATTGCTACTATTTCTAAAAACACAGAGAATATTTTTACAAAACTGGTTGTGTACATTTTCAATAGGTGAGGTATCTTGTTGTTGTTCAGTCCCCCATATTTGACATACGTACAGAAGATTAGAATTGGCTTTACACATGTGTCTAATATCTTTAGGAGGCTACCTGGTGAGACTGATGAACGGACGATAGATTTAAAACTATAAATGGCTTTACGTGCCTTCAGTGATAACTGCTTTTTAGTTAGGGTGAAGCTACCTGATGATGTAAGGGTTAGGCCTAGATAACAGTAGGAGGGAACGCTGTCTATTGTGTTGTTTTCAAAGTAGAACTTTTGCTTTGGAAAGGAACGGCCAGCTTTGTTAAATATAACAACTTTTTTTTTTCAAATTTACTTGGAGCTTCCATTCATCACAAAAGCTACAGTAACTCAATCTATTTAAGGCCGATTGCAGACCTTTGTCTGATTCTGAATGTATTACAACATCATCAGCATACAATAAACAAGAGACATGTAGTTTGTATAAAGTAGGTGGCATACACTCTGGATTATCTAACTCTTTCACTTATATCATTACTAAATAAATTTAAAAGGGTGGGGCTCAAGTTACACCCCTGTCGGACACCCTTATCAGTCACAAAAGGAGGTGTAAGGCCAGATTTTGTTTTGACACAGGTTTTAGGTTTACTATACAAGCTTAGCATTAGATTAATTTATAGAAATTCCCCCGTATTCCCGAATTTAGTAATTTGAAACGGAGTCCTTCTCTCCAGACTGTGTCAAATGCTTTTCTAAAATCTATGAAACATGTATAAAGGCATTTGATGTTAGGGACTGTACGATATTTACCGGGGGGGGAGGGCCGGTCGTCTGAGGGGGGAGGGCCTAGGAAAAAAATTTTGAGCCGGGGGGAGGGCCTAGGAAAAAATATTTTAATTTGGGGGAGGGCCTAGGTAAAAAAATTTTTGCAAGATCCCTTTAACTCTACAACGTTTTTATACACTTTCAAAACATGATTAACGTCTGTCCCATACATTTTGTAGCGATTTGCCGGTCATTGAAATCGGCAATTTTACATTCCAATAATATCCATCCCTATTATTATAATGTATTCGTCCAAATCTCCCACAGTCCTCTTCAAAATCTTGCATTTTCGCCAGAATCGGCGAAACTGGACTACACAGCCAAATTACATGGATTAAAGCCGTGTCAATCGCGGCTATCGAAACGATACCGATCAAAAATGTAGGGAAGGCTTGTCTGAAGATTTTGAAAATTAATTTTCGCCGTTCAACGCACCCTTCCCAGTGGTGTGCGTGCGTCGGCAAAGGTGACCCGCTGGTCCCGCCTCGCTCAAACTTCTCGGCGTGGATGTCGGATGTCGACGGATTAATTTGGTATTTTTTTTAAACCAAGGACTATTTGAACATTTATATCTATGTCCCTCCAAAGTTAATTGAAAACAACACATAACTTGGCAATATTGTTTCCCTGT